CTATATAAAGGATAATATATTAGCTAATATAGCAGGTATAAATATAGCTAATATAAGGGGTAATATAACGCTAGTAGCCTCTCCTCCCTTCTCAACGTTACTTACAAAAAATTATTAATAAACTCTATATTAATATTATTATTACCACTATTAATATTATTAACAATATTAACGTATACCGGGAACCTATCACCACCACATTTCCCACTACTCGAAGTAATACTAACTGCAGCAGTCTCTACTATAATTATCTTTTAAATAATGAAAGCAAAGGGATTTCGTATAGTAATATACTTAATTACGATAGCCTCTACCCACTTCCCCACGTCTTTAATGGAAAAAATATAATATATTTTACTACCATTAACGAAGTAGCATATCTAATAATCAACTCTCTTATTATAATTCTTATAACTATACCCAATATTATACCTCTACGTCTAAAAGAACTTATAATACGCAATACTATAAGACTTACACTCCCTACGTACCTCTCATTCGTAGTCTTATTCGTTAAATTTATCAATCTCCTCCAATAATATATTGATTATACTCTTCCTCCCTATACTAAACTTAAAGGTAATAAACGCGTATAATAACTATAGCATAATAATTATAAAGGGATTAACTATATTACGAGAAAAAATAAGAGTAGAAAGCACACTAATAATAAAGACGAGCGCTAATATTACGGGCGGGTCAACGAAAGTAAAGATAAAAACGAATATAAAAATATAGTACTAAGTAATACTATTACGGATATCTACTTTTATAATACCCTTACTATTAAAATTACAATCATTATTATTAAACTAAATAGCTATAATAGTCTTTATATAAATTATAGCCTTATTCCTCCTATTATTATTATAAACGCTAATAATATACGTAACGTTATAAAGGATAATTTAATATTTAACGCTAACGGCGGCTGTATTAATAATAATCTTTTAAATATACCCTATTTATAAACGAAGGACCTCCCTAAGCAAAATTATCCTAAACCGCTAATTATAAATTTTGCTGTTCTCTTATTTAATTTCAATCTCTTAATAATTCCTGTAATTAAAAATAGTAGGAAGCTTAACTCTAAAAATAATAAAGTATAACCCAATAACCGTAAATTCTACCTAAATATAAAAAGGGAAAGCGGGCTTAAAAGGTAGCGTAATTTGCTTACGGGTACGCAATCAAACTAGAGTACGCAATTAGGCTAAAGGCGCCCGGACTAGGGATACCGTATTCTTATTGTCATTAAAAAAGTAGAATAATATATTAATAGCCTTCTTCTTAGGGGTAAGGTAAATAAAGAAATTAGGGAACTATTATTCCTCCTCCTCCTCCTCCTCCTCTTCTTTCTTATTATTATCGAATTCGCTATCAGGGTCGCTAGAGAATTCGATAGGAGCTAATTATATAAACGGGGAGGAAAGTACAAAAGTCTCAGGTTTTAAAAAGGGTTTTAGAAAGGGCTCTAGTTCTAGCGCAAACGCCTTCCCTTTCCCCTTATTCTTAAAGGCGGCCTTCTTAGGAGCCTTCTTAAGAGCAGCCTTCTTAGGGGCAGCCTTCTTAGGGGCAGCCTTCTTAGGGGCAGCCTTCTTAGGGGTAGCCTTCTTAGGGGCAACCTTCTTCTTAAATAAATTAATAATAGATTCCTCTCTTTTAGACTCAATAAAAATACGATTCTTTTTCGTAGGGTGGGTAGAGGTACGTATTAATTAATTCGAACCCTAATCCTCGTCGAAGTAGACCGAAGTAACGTTAGCGCAACGAATCCGCTTCTAATTCTTCTTCAAGATCGATTTAAGAGGCATTGTTTTCAATTGATTAATAGAATACAATTGCTTATTTACTTTGTACGATGAAAGAGATTGTATAGCGCTTCAATTCTATATAGAAATCATGTAAAAAGACGATATTTTACGATGTGTATGTATATTCTCGCTTGGTTATTGTGGCCAGCTCAGCAAAGTCTTGGCAACTGTCAAGGCGTTTGAGGGTGGGAACGGGAACACGACGCGACAGATCCCGATTGGATTGGCGCATGGCCAATTCAGGGGTAATGTTGTGTTGTCGTCTGTTGCGCTATCAATTGTTCGTATTTCTCTCCTAATCCTTCCTATCCTCAGGTTCTTGCGCCAATTTTTGTCTTTGTTCTTTTTCCAATATCAATCCAACCCGTCCATCATGGCGAGGAAGCAGGCCACTGAAGCCCCGGCGGCCTCAAACGGATCATCCAAGAAACGGTCCATCGCCGACAGCGATGATCACGATGCTAAGCGACCCCGGCTACAGGAGAGCACCGATAAGGCGCGTTGGCGTTTGAGCAGTGAAGGCGGCCGGCACACATGGCACTACCTCGAGGACGACGAGGCTGCAAAAGAATGGCCGCAGTCATATGCTGACAAGTACTTCCTGGGAATGCCTCTGGTAAAACATCCAGCCGTAAGCTCCCACAATGCCCATCTCACATGCTAACCTTGCGCGTCAACCTCACAGGAGCTCCCCGAACTGCCCAAGGCGACGAACCCCCTCGATGCGGTACGAAATGGCCTTACTTTCTTCGAAAAGCTCCAGCTCCCCGAGGGCCATTGGGGTTGCGAGTACGGCGGTCCCATGTTCCTCCTCCCCGGTGTCGTCATCGCCCGCTACGTCACCAAGAACCCCGTCCCCTGGTACTATGCCACCGAGATCAAGAACTACCTGTTTGCACGAGCGAACCCCGTCGACGGCGGATGGGGGCTACACATCGAAGGCGAGAGCACGATGCTAGGAACGACGCTCAATTACACGACATTGCGCCTGGTGGGTGTGGAGGCAGACCATCCAGTCATGGTGAAAGCGCGGGCAACAATGCACAAGATGGGAGGTGCCATTTGCGCACCACATTGGGCCAAGTTCTGGCTCACGGTTTTGGGTGTCATGAAGTGGGACATCGTCAACCCCGTACCGCCCGAGTTGTGGCTCCTTCCCGACTGGGTGCCCATTGCGCCTTGGAGATGGTGGATCCATATGCGTCAGGTCTTTCTGCCCATGAGTTACCTTTGGTCCAAGAAGTGGCAGGCAGAAGAGACGGACTTGATTCGGGAGTTGCGCAAGGAGTTGTTCGTGGAGGACTGGAACAAGATCGACTGGGCTGGAAACCGTAACACCATTCATCCCAACGACAACTACCACCCAAAAACCGCCTTTCTCAACACGGTCAACTGGCTTCTCGTGAACATCTGGAACCCGGTATTCCGGACCAAGTACTTGGTAGACAAGGCTGAGGCGTGGACCTCGGAGCTTATCGACATGGAGGACGAAAACACCGATTATTCTGATCTAGCCCCTGTCAACGCCGCGATGAACACCGTTTGCTGTTATGTGCGGGATGGACCTGGCGCTTACTCTGTGCGAAGGCACGTGGAAAGGCTAGATGAGGTCCTCTGGGTCAACGCTGAGGGTATGCTTTGCAATGGCACAAATGGCGTGCAATGCTGGGACACTGCATTCGCAATTCAGGCTATCATGGACGCTGGCTTGACCGAAGACCCACGCTGGAGGCCGATGCTGATTAAGTCGCTGGAGTTCCTTGAGGACCAGCAAATCCGGGAGAACGTCAAGGATCAGGACAAGTGCTACCGCCATCCTCGCAAGGGTGCTTGGGCATTTAGCAACAAGGACCAAGGGTACGCAGTCAGCGATTGCGTCTCCGAGGCATTGAAGTCCGTCATCATCCTGCAAAAGACGCCAGGCTTCCCTACCCTGATCGACGACCAGCGTATTTTTGACGCCGTTGACACCATGCTTACCTACCAAAACCCATCTGGCGCCTGCTCATCCTATGAAACTCCGCGGGCCGGGCAGTGGATGGAGGTGTTGAACGCCGCAGAAGTGTTTGGCAACATCATGGTTGAATATGAGTATCCCGAATGCACCACGGCCGTTCTTACAACCCTCTCGCTCTTCAAGAAACACTGGCCCAATCATCGCACAGACGAGATTGACAGCTTCATCACCCGCGCTGTCAAGTGGATCAAGAGCGATCAGAAGCCTCATGGTGGTTGGTATGGCAATTGGGGCATTTGCTTCACGTACGCCTCCATGTTTGCTTTGGAGAGCTTGGCTAGTGTCGGTGAAACGTATGAGACCAGCAAATATGCCAAGAAGGGGTGCGACTTCCTCATTTCCAAGCAGAGGGAGGACGGCGGTTGGTCTGAGAGCTACAAGGTAAGTCTATCTGTGTATGGCAGGGGCTGAAGTATCCCATATTTTGTTTGATGCTAACCAGAGTGTAGGCATGTGAGACGGGCAAGTACGTTGAGCATCCAACTGGGTCTCAAGTGGTCATGACCGCATGGGCCCTTATTGGGTTGATCAAAGCCAAGTATCCCGATATCGAACCTATCAAGAAGGGCATCAAGTTGATTATGGACCGTCAGCAGCCCAACGGAGAGTGGTTGCAAGAAGCCATCGAGGGCGTTTTCAACAAGAGCTGCATGATTTCTTACCCGAACTACAAGTTCAGCTTTCCGCTGAAGGCACTGGGCTTGTTTGCCACACGGTATCCGGACGAGAAGGTCGTTTGAATGCCCAGCCGACGGGGATATGACATTGCAAAAGCTCGAACGGAGGAATGATGTTTAATGGCCTACATAATGCTAATACCTACATATGAATTGATGTCAAGACACCGTATCGTCTCGCGAAACTGGGATTCGGAAAGACCAGGTAAAGGTGCATGTCCACCAATTTGGTGGAGGTCTGTAAATTATGGCCTTCCTGTCTGAATTTCCGTACTACAGACGGATCTCGGAGGACTGTGGGGGCAAGATTCACCGTCATGCAAACAAATTTCGGCGGGCATATATGCCGGTGTATCTGGTTTCCGATGTACAGATCCGTGCCTATACGTGGCCTTTTCGAATCTCAATTTCGCGAGACGATATGTTACCTGTGTTAATTTTTCTTCCTTTTTGGAGATGGTCATCGGCTTGGTTCCTGATGTTGACTTGGCCATCAAGGTGCGCACTTGCTGGTCCCGCTACAGGGCAAACAGTGGTATCAATTCTAAGATAGGAAGGCGGTGAAAGGAGCTTCCGCATGTGCCCCCCCTCCTGCCGGCAGAATCAGCAATAACCCCACCATGCATGTCCCAACGGAGCTAACAGTTACGTACCCCTTGATATAAAGAAGTGGGAGCTGATTCTCTCCGTTTCCATCAACTGACATCTCTTTCAAACCAAACGCAATCCATCCAGCTCTTCCACAACACCTTTCCGAGACCTTCATTACCTTGAAGAAGTCACCATCCAACCGAGCTCTTCCTTCGTACACCGGGACCATCATCAGAATCTCAACACAAATCGTTTTATTGGCACTCGTCCAGAATGTCAGCAACCACGATCGCCCAGAAGGGCATCGATGCCCTCGCAAAGGGTGATTATGCCACGGCCATTACAAATCTCGACAAGGCACTCGAGTCTTCCAACTCGCCAGTGTGGCTCCTAGCTCGCTCCAAGGCACACCAAAAGGCCAAGAACCTCGAAGCAGCTCTACACGATGCCGAGCTGGCTTACCATGCCGCAGCCGAACGTGGCTCTGGTACATCACGCAGCCACATGATCCAAGCCCAGTACCGCCGTGCTGTCATCTACTACCAGCTTGAACGCTTTGCCGATGCAGACTGCTGTGCTAAGTGGAGCATGCTGCTTGCCGAAGGCCGACCAGCTCGCGAGGACGATGGCGTGGAGAAGAGGGTCGATTCCGAAGGAAATTATACTGTCACATACGAGGAGTATCTTGCCGACAAGGACAACCAACCGAAACCGAAGACCGGCAATGCTCTCGCCGCTGCCGAGAAGGGACCTTATGCCACGGACTGGAATATGGCATTTTCGTGGAGAAGCCAGGCTCTCGGAAGGCTTAAGAAATTGCCCAAAGATCACCCTGGCTGGAAGGTCAATGTCACCAAGATTCCGCCTAAGCCCGAGCAGAAGAAGGTTAAGAGCCCCGAGCCTGCCGAGTCGACGAGTGAAGATGAGGTGCAGGAGCAAAAGGCCCCCAAGAAGGAGGCTCCTGCCCCTGGATCAGTTCCCGACGAGAAGATGAAGCTGCGTGTTGATTTCTACCAGACCAACCAGACTGTCACCGTCAGTCTGTTTGTCAAGGATGTCAAGAAGGAAGATTTGAAGGTCGAATTTGGCAAGCACCAAGTAAGTCTACACTGCTTTAGATCACCAGCAACTGCCATTACTAACAGAGTACGCAGGTTCGGATTTCCCCTATCCTTCGCGAAGCCGCACCTTACGTCAAGCCCGGTGACAGAGAAGCCACCTCGACCTTTGTTCTCGCCGGTGAGATCGATCCCTCGGCCTCCAAGTGGTCCGCTTCGCCACGCAAGATTGAGCTCGTCCTGCAGAAGGCCGCACCTGGTATCAAATGGGGTCGTTGGGGCGACGAAAAGATTGGCACCGTGGAATCCGATGACCAAGAGCCTGCTACAACAGCGGCATCATCTTCTGCTGCCTCAACTGCCAAGCCAGCTACTTCTTCGGCCTCTACTCCCGCAAAGTTGCCCGCCTACCCCACGAGCAGCAAATCTGGCCCCAAAAACTGGGACAGCCTTCCTGTCGACGACGACGACAAGGAGGATGGCCAGGATATCAATGGCTTTTTCAAAACTCTCTACAAGGGTAGTACGCCTGAACAGCAGCGTGCCATGATGAAGAGCTTCCTCGAGAGCAATGGCACGACGCTGAGCACAAACTGGGAAGAGGTCAAGGATAAGGTGGTTCCGACGGTGCCCCCGGAGGGAGTCGAGCCCAAGCCGTGGAACGGTTAGTCGACATTGCCGGGTTGGTTGATGATGGGACTTGCCAAGTTCTGCTATATCTTAACTAGAGTATGCTTAAACAGAGGAAACACAAACGAAGCGGGGTACATAAGTGAAGAAGAAGAAGAACGACAGAGTTACGAGGATGGGCAGGAAAGTTTCATATTACCTGACGAAAACGAAGTGGCTCAAGGACAACCTGATTACTAGGAAGAATGGCAGGAATGGATGGGGAAGTTTGACTCTCTCTTCGACAGATTTGTCGAGATCTCGTGCTGGAAAGGATGGGGACGCTTTGAAGTTGTATGGGGTATCCTCCAGCTCTTGATCTTCTGCTCGTTGACGTGGATATCAGTTCTACTGATATTCCTGAAGCACAGTGTCGTGGTTGAGGTGCCGGAATGGGGGCCCTTTGCGCATGCCCTTTTTGCCATTATGCGGAGACGCCTGTCTCATTTGCCGGGTTTGTTGGGTTTCCGAATATAATTTGGTCCTTGCCGGTGCACTTCTTGAATCTGGGATTCATAATACAGCGGAATAGTTTGTCGACCAACCTAGCGATAGTCCAAGGCTTACAGAATCAGTTAATATAATATTGCGAAGCGAAGTTGGTCGTAAGCTAATACATCAAGAGCGATGTGCCAGTGATATCTTCTGTGATTATCTATCAGCACCTGGTTGCAGTTCGTGGTTAGACTTGAGTGATAATCATGCTATGCTGCTATTCTGCTACCCTGCGTCGAAAGCAAGATCCATTCATTTGATTCTACGCGGGACGATAACGAGAAACTCAACATCACGTACAAACTGGACAACTTTCGAGATCATTCCTTATATACAGAGGGTATGATTAGGTTGTTATTACCGCATCGACAAGGGATGTCAAGCGTCCAAGTACGGGTAGTCTATGTTTCTATCTATGTAGGTATCATGGCATAAAGTCTCATTTCATTATTCGCTTTTCCCTTATGGGTCTCTCAACCCCCCACACTCATTCAATCCACACGATCTTTGCTATCCGGCGACCCAGCCACCCTCGGTCTAGGCTTGCTCCCACCGGCAACATCAGCAGCCCGGCTCTTCCTATCCTCCACCTCCACCACACTCATATCCATCCTAACCTTAAATTGCCTCCCCCTCCACCTAACCGTCGTACCCAGCAACACGGCCCTGGTCCAAATAGGCAGCGCCAGCAACTCCCTCCCCAACCAAGCAGCCAACCACTCCCTAAACGGCCTCTGTGCCGTCCCTCCCTGTCTCGCAGTGCCCCTGGCAAAAAAGGGCGTGTCCTCATCCACATCCAAACTCTGCAGCCGGAACAGCTTGCTAGTCAACCACCGATCGATCGACATCCAAATCGTCACACTTCCCAACCACAAGCAAGCCATGGCGCTCCACGTCTGCGGCACGCCAAACACTCCGTTGAACCACGGCAGCGTAGTTACCGCGAACGCAAAATACGCACAACACACCAAACTCTCCACGCCCGGTTCCACCAGCGTCGCAGCCAAAACCGTCCACTTCCTCACGCGCAGCCAGCGCACGCGCCTGGCGATGTACGCGGCGACGGACATCCCCGCCATAGGCTGGACGGCGACCTCGCCGAAGACTAGGCCGTGGTTTTTATAGCCGGGCGAAGAAGAGCGCCAGATTAAGTCGCCGATTAGGTGGTCTTCGCAGATGTAGCTCGAAAAGAAATCGATGCCGGTGCCACGGGTCGAGTCGGAGGAGCGGAGTAGAGGGTTGGAGGAGACGGTGGTGAAGGCGTCGAGGTGTGATTTGCGGAACATGTTGGACTTGCCGACGATGCAGGGGGCCAGGCCGACGGCGTTGATGGCGCCGTAGAATTTGGCGTGGGTGGTGGACATGAACATTTCTTCGAGGCGGCCGCCGTGGGCGAGGAGGCCTTGGCTTTGGTTTTCTGGGGTAGTAGAGTTGGGTGTGACGGTGGAAGGGAGGAGGGATTGTCCTTCGGTCGAGGAGGACTTGCCGACGGGGCTGGCGCCGGAGGGGGTGTTGTTGTCTAGGTCTACCACGAGAGGAAGCTGGTGGACGAATTTGTAGGGGGTTGTTCTATCGCAGCCGCCGCCGTTGGTAGGCTGGAAGCCAAAGAGCTTGTCGACCATCCTCCCTGCCGCGTTCTTGGCCACCCAAACATTGCAGTCCACAATCCAGATGATATCGCCCTTGGCTTCGCGGTATGCGCGGCTGATGTTGCGGATCTTGGGGTTCGGGCCTAGGTTGTTGACGTGGCCGGCACGACCGTGGAGGATCGGGTCTTCTTCCTCGACGAGAACCTGCGCGTCGAAGGAGGGGAAGTCGGCCACGAGCTGGCAGAGGACGGGGTAGGCGGGATCGCTCTCAGAATCGACGCAGAGGCGGATCGAGAGCTTGGATTTGGGGTAGGCGAGCCGGAAGGTCGAGGCGAGGCATTTGTACAGGCCAACTTCTACGCCCTTGACGGGGCGGATGACGGTAACGTGGGGTACCTCATTTTCGGGCAATGAAGGCGATGCGGGTGGAGGAAGAGGTGAGGTGTGGTTGCGGTAACTGTAGGAGGTGCATATCCATGGTTAGTGACCAGAGTAGAGGTTTGCGACAGCTGCAATGGCTGCGCGCGCATATGGTGTTGTATTTTTGCTTACAGCTTGGTGATGCCAACAAGTTGGAGGAGAAAGACAACACAGCTCCAGCCAAGACAAACCAAGGCCGCGCCTTGGATAATGTTTATAGACATTGGAACATAGCCCTCTGTATAAGTGAACCTATTCGAAGGTAGGAAAGGATGGTGATCCGAAGGGGAAAAAAGGAGCGACGTTGCGCGGCGGCGCAAGAATAAGCAGGCAGTTTTAGGAACGTGATGCAGGGAAGTGTGAAAGGAGAGAAATCCTTTTGGGATATCGGGTGGTTAGAGAGGAGGTTAGAGCTTAGGTCAGCTTGGTAGCACAGGGTACAGTAAACAAAAGCTGGATAGGAAGCTAGGTATTTATTATCGGGATTTTCCTTAAGGACCTGCAACCAGAGTGGAGATATTGATCGCATGCGCTGTCCCGCCAGTCTATGAGTGATCGTCACCGTGAAAAAAGGAGTTAAGGCCTCGCGGGATGATCTTTCTTGATGCACGGAATCATCGGATATTGAACTGAAATTGAACGACATGTTTGCGCGCGATAGGAATTCACGGAAACGATTATGGCGGAAGCCAGGCAACGGCGGCTGTTCCACGCCAACGGGACAACGGCTTCGTGACGGGCAGGCATCATGATTCGAGAGGAAGGTCCTGTGGTCCGTGATATGCCTGCCCCGGTCAGGTACGGCAAGCTCAGGGGAAGCTTATGTCAGCCAAGCTTGGAGCTTATCGCAAGTTCGAATGCCAATCAGCCCCACTTTATCAAGCCCTGGGGCGTGGGGCTCGGCGGAATTTGCTGCGGCGCAAAGAATCGATAAAATTCGGGATCCAAATCTTTTTCTGTTCCTTCTTCCCGACTTTCTCACACTCGCAGCGCAACGACATCACCCAAGCCCAATTGGAGAAACAGCATGACAGGATCATGAACTGAACTCCGGGAACAAGCATTCGTTATCTGAATGCCCAATTGGATCTTGTCGAGTCGTGACCGTTATTGTCACTGCTGAATGGCCAGGCGCCTTCAAATCTCCATCTTCGCCCACAACCTGGGTGCAATATCATTCCAAAGTGTAAGTTAACCACACCATCATTCCTTTGGCGCGCATGTCCAGAGAGTGTTACCAGTGTCCCATCGGCTTTGCCCTTGGACACCCCCAAGTTGCGGTGATGACTCCTTTTGTGCTTAGAGCAATATATCCTTCAGTGGATCGCTCCGTGTTAGCCTCTGTATTAGACTACAACGGTATCTGAGCAACATTACACTGGGGACCTCTTTGGATGCGATATATATATATATATGACATTGCTGACATCCTTCCTCATCAGGCCGATATGAACAGACACAATGGCTGAAAACATGAACACTACTACAATGTCGCAACCTAGCGAATCGCCGAGTAAACCTGGGGAGGACAACCCCGCGGCATCATCTGCGCCGCCTCGACCCCAAAGAGTTCCGTACCACCAGATCTACAAACTCCCTGCGCCAATTCGTACCTTTCCGCTGCCTAGCTTCTACCCCAGCAATCCCCTTTCCCTCTTTCACCTTGCCGTCGCGTGGTTGAGACAAGTGTTGTTGCCTCCCCCCGCCGAACCATCAGTGATACATGAGGGAATCTGGGATCCCGATACTCGCTCCGTACATGTTAAGGACCCCAAGTCCATCCGCGCCCTGTGGGAACAGGGCTTCTATGGAAAAGGAAGCTTGAGTCGTAGTGAACCCAACTGGTTTAAGAGAGAGCTTAGCCGCCGCGGTCTTGACGGGACAACGGTCAGCGAAGAACGCACCGTGTCACGCCGTGAAGAACGCAAGCAGGTCAAGTGGGAAAGGGCAAAGGCAGAGCTGGAGGCCATCGAGAAGCAAAAGCTCGAGGAAGCCAAGCTTAACAGTGAAACTGTAAATGCTGCTGTCCCAGAGTCTCTTGCTGCCGAGTCCGAGCCCGAGCCTCAAGTTCTACCTGCATCTCTTCCTGATCCTGTCCTTTCTGCCACTTCAACCGCTGCAACATCCCAGGCTGCACCTACGGACGAGTTTGTTCCCAAGACAGTAGCACATGGACATATTGTCGAGCCGAAACCGCCCGTTGGCCCCTTGGAGCTTCTGGCTTTGCCCAACTCATATGCTCTTGTCCGATGCGAGGAGCCGGTGCTATCGCAACCTGAACCAGCAACCACTGAAGAGAATGTGCGCAAGGAATTCAAGCCGCCTGTTGGTCCCATCGAGTTGTTGGCTCTCCCCAATTCTCTGGCCGATCTTGTCGCACTATCAGTCGTATCCGTCTTGAGCGAGGACATTGGTATTGATGAAGACGAGTCTTCTCAGTCGGAGGCAAGTGCCCTGACCAACGACGAACCCGAGACCAGCGCAACAAAAGTCACCGATACCACCTCTTCTGTTTCCTCTCCTCTTTCTACGGACGGACAGCCAGACAGCCAGCCAGCTCAGGAAGACACCCCCGCTACTCCTGAGAGGAGGAAGAGCGTTCGCTTCTCTCCCACCGTCGAGTCTACCACCTTCCAGCACACCGATGCAGCCTCTGAAGTCAAGAACCACAATGGGTCATCTGACGTTGAAGCCATCTCCTCTGCTGTCCCTGCCGTCGAAAAGCCTATCATTTCCAATGTCGAGCCTACCGTTTTCTCTGAGGAGTTGGTTGACAAGGAGCACTTCCAGCTGGCCCCCGAAGAGGCTTTCTTCTTGGCCTTTGGCCTTGGTGCTCTCCGCGTTGTCGATCCAGTCACCAAGGCTCCCATCTCGAACGAACAGCTTCTCATCAAGCTTCGTGCCAACTCTTACTTCCCTCCTCGGTCCGTCGATAACCTTAGCCCTGAGGATCCCTTCCTCGTCCAATACGCCGTCTACCACCACTTCCGTTCTCTTGGCTGGGTCCCCCGTCACGGTATCAAGTTTGGCGTCGACTGGATTATCTACCAACGTGGCCCGGTCTTCGACCACTCCGAGTTCGGTATCATGGTGGTGCCGTCATTCTCCGACCCTCGCTGGAGCGAGTACGAACACGAGGAGTCAAAGAAAACCTGGTCTTGGCTGATGGGTGTCAACCGTGTGTTGGCCCATGTGCTCAAGAGCTTGGTTCTCGTCTATGTCGACGTGCCGCCCCCTCCAGTGTTTGATGAGGAGATGAAGAAGGGTGGCATTGCGGCTGCGCTTAAGAAGTTCATGATCCGTGAGGTTATGGTCAGGCGGTTCTCCGTCAACCGCAACAGGTAGAAAAAGGAACAAGCGTTTTGGTGTCGACGAGGTACCTATACAGCATTGCATGGCGTTTAGGTTTTTGGGTTGTCTGGCTGGATCGGAAAAGGTTATATAGACTGTTGCACCACTTGCATAGCTAGACTCTTAGTTTAAGTTATAACAGAGAGCATTCTGACAATACCTCTATCTTGTTAACTGGGGGACACGTACTGAAATGGAATTGCGCGAATGGGTATAGACTTTTCCCCTCACTTCGATCTATTTCGCCCATGTTACGTTTTTGCGACTGCGAGTTTAGGAATCATAAAACGAACCCAAACGCAACGCTTCCTATTTCCCCACACCGAGACAACAGATATCACGGTTCGTGACCGTTACTATAATATCCCTCGCTTTTCTCTCCGTCCATATACCCGTTTCTTCCCAATAACTAAGCGAAAAAAAAAAAAAAAAAGACCTCAATCATGATCCCTGGATCACACGCTCCCCCAAGTACATCACAGACCCTTGACTTACACGGGACGAGTGAGGGTTAGGGTTGAGAATCGTTCAACGTGAAGCTGCAGGTTCGATCTTTCTGTTGTTCTTCACCGGCAGCCATTGAACGTTTTTGGCAATCACAAGGGATTGTGATGCAGCAATATCAATAGAAGAAAGGAATCTGGGGAAGTTGTGACGGTTAATCACTGTTAAACAACCCAACAGAAGGTACGTTCCGAGGGTCCCACGTGACGCCGATTGCACAAAATTCACCCATGCAGAATTAATCACAGCCTGAAACTCATCACAACCAACAACCAACAACCGACAACCAACAACCTCAAATCTCAAACCTCGCTATTTAACACACGAACGAACCATTTCCAACCACTTACGGCTTTATCTCAATCCTTTCCAAACAACAACTGCCATCAAGAGAAAATCACACAAAGTGTCTCAAGCAACCAATCCAAAAAAAAGCAAAACCAGACTCACAAACCCCAAACCCAAACACCCAAAGACAAGCAGGCACCCTTCAATCATACAAAGAAAAAAAAAGAGATCCATCCACAATGTCGGACGCAAACGACAACGACTTCACCCAGCTCTCCCCCTCCTCCTCCTCCACCCCCGGCGCCAGAACCCCCGCCGACGCCTCCATCTCTAAAGAACACGGCCTCGCCTACTGGGAATCCGTCAGCGCCGACGAGAACGGCATGCTGGGCGGGATCCCGAGCTTCGCCGGCTTCGCCAACACCTCCAAGATCGACCTGCAGGGCTCTCGCAATTTCCTCGCCAAGTTCGGCATCGGTTCCAAGTCAGGCCTGCGCAGGTGCAAGCGCATCTTAGAGGGCGGGGCGGGCGTGGGCAGGATCACGGAGGGGTTGTTGACTGAACTACTTGATGAGGAGAAGGGAGGGAAAGTGGATGTGGTTGAGCCGATTGCCAAGTTTACGGCCAAGTTGCAGGGGAAAAAGGGTGTGGGGAGGGTGTATGTGATGGGGTTGGAGGAGTGGGTGCCTGAGGTGGGGGAAGGAGAGAATAAGTATGATTTGGTGTGGACGCAGTGGTGCGTGGGACATTTGACGGATGAGCAGTTGGTGGCGTATTTGCAGAGGTGCAAGAGCGCGTTGAGCGAGGATGGGTTGATTGTGATCAAGGAGAACACGACGGTGTTGGGGAATGATGAGTTTGATCAGGAGGATAGTAGTGTTACGAGGTAAGTCTTTTTGCCCGGGCCTGGGCCCGGGGTGATGGAACGCGTTCTTGTTTTTGGGTGGCTGACGACTAACGCAATGTGAACAATGACAACAGAGGCGAGGCGACATTCCAGAAAGTCTTCCAAAAGGCTGGGTTGAAGGTTGTCAAGGCCGAGTTCCAAAAGGGCTTCCCCCAGACGAGGACTATGAAGCTTCTTCCGGTGCGCATGTACGCTCTGAAGCCTTGAGTGTCTGGAGAGGAAGAACAAGTACCGCGATCAAAGTCACCATAAAGCGTACGCGGAGACGAACGGCCGGCACGATTACACCAGGTTTACCATTATTGAGGGGTTACGGACACCTTCGGTCTACGTGGAATGGTAGGCACCCAAGAGTGAGAAGGCCGTCACCTCCAGGTTCTTATCTTTCTGAGTCCATGCGTCCGGGGGCATGTCAGATACAATATCGGTAGAACGACGACATCTCCTTAGACTTTTTATCGAGGACAATTGGCAGAATTTGAGTTGGAACGACATCATACCGACAGGTCGTGGACTGTTTTTGTTGAGCATTAGGGGACAGCTCCAACCCGGATTATCACCAGGTATTAATTAGATCATCTCAAGTTCGTCTCGTTTACATATTAAGTTCGACAAAGCATTAGAGAACTATAAATACACCAGATTCTTTCAACAGCCGTGATCACGACATCTTTCCCCCCCTTGCCGGCCACTCACACCTTCTCCTCCACCTCCTACCCCCTAACCTCCACAACCCTCCACGGCCCAGCCACATTTTCCCTCCCCCAAACCTCCTCAAGACTCTCCGGCTCATCCAACTTCCCACGGTAAACCCCATAAGGATTTCTCTTTGGCAGCTTCAACGCTTTCCTAAGTATCTCCTTCGCCTCCGGCCCATCGCGCCTAAACACAAACGGGGCAGTTTCAAACTCCTGGAACAGCGCCTTCTCTTTCTTCTCCTTCACAAACTCTTTGAACGCGCGTGTATGTTGCTCCCATTGCAAAGCCTCCTCCTCCAAATGCCCTGCGATTTGGATGATACGAGCTAGGGAGGGTGGACGCAGGTGCGGATGGAGTACAGCATCTAGTTGATCAAACTCGTTCAGGGTTTCGAGCTCTTCAACAAGCTCGAGCAGGAGGAGTCGGGCGTGGCTGGCTTTTGCACTACATGTACCTGCGATGCCACCACGTTCGGGATTTGGCCCAAATGTCCAGCAGGACTGAGAAGGTCCTCCATTGCATATTTTGGGGCTGGGGTTGGGGGCGGCGTTCGCTTTGTTGTGTCTATGATGCCTCTGCGGCGTCGGTTGGTTCTTCTGCTGAGCGATCTGCTTCACCAAACCTCTCCGTTGCGGCGCTTGAGGTCGCGGAACCGGTAATCGAACACTGCATGTGCCAATGCAGGTGTCCGCTGCCGTTCTGGTGGCTGCGATCCTCCACATGCAACTAAAGAACGTGGTCAGGTTGCACTCGTGATTCATGACGAAATCCCATCGACGACGACGACGAGACCCCTCTGTGGCAGCAGTTCCTGGCGGCTTGGTTTCCTTTGCCTGGTTACTATCGAACGGTATCCCATTTCTAGGGACGAATTTCTTGGAGTCCTGGCTTGCGGTTCGAGCCATACCAAAGTCCCCAATGTAAAACTCCGGGAGAGGGTCTTCCTTGGTCCAGTGAAGGAAGATGTTGCTGGCGTGCAGGTCGCAGTGGTAGACGGCTTCGTTGCCTCCTTGGTACATGACCTCCAACGTCTCACATATGTGACGGATAGCGCGCGCAACTAGGGAAATGGGAAGTTTATAAGGCAATGGAGCTTGAGGGGCCGTACCGTTTTGACTGCGTGCTAGCCACGGTCTTTGTTCCATGATGTAAGGGTTTACCAAGCCATAGAGGGTTCCACCGTTGCAGAACTTCCAGTAACTCACTTGATAGCTCAAATGAGTACCTGATTTTTCGGTTTCCTGGTAAGCAACGACTTGCTCATAAGTAAGAAGGGTGATCCATCTTGGCTGGAAGTTGGCGAGACGGTTGTGGGAACTGATGAGACGGCGTAGGACGCTGATCTCGGCTGGCTCGTGGTGGTCGAGAGTGGAGGGACATAGTTTCCTGTCCACTTTTTGAACCACCTTTAGGCCTGTCTCTCTGTCCTGGACGAGCTGAGCATGACTTTGGACTCCGTGACCTAGCTTGCTGACGAAGTAATATCGTTGAAGGGGGATGGTGGAGTCAAAGCGGTATACATAGCCGGGCTTAGGGGCAAGCTGGTCGTGCTGTTTAGTGAGACGCATAGTTCGTGACGAACACTTTGGTCGTGTTCTGGAGGAGAAGGATGGTGCATATGATCTCGTGCTTTGATGCACCCGTCGTTGGGTTCATATATCCCGCGGCTATGAGAGTCGATCAGACTCTAGACTCCGGACGAGAGAGGTCATGGAGCCGGAGAAGCTTGTAGTATGTTTTCGAAGCCATGGTCATCCCAGAGTTTTGAGGAGACATATAACAGGGTCCTGTTGCTGATCTCCTCAACATAATATCGACATTGAGAGGAGTCAACTGTGAATGGTTTAGGCGGCGTAAAAAGGCTTCTAAACGAGTCATCACATCTCACAACAGATGTGTAAGTAGAATATATCACCGCAAAAAGCAGAATCATGGAGATTGGAGGGGGATGTAAAAGAAGCACAAGGAGATGCTACGAGTGGTCGATTTACAATTGATCGGGATTGTTTACTTACTTAGAGGCTCATCCTGATGTTCCGAGATGTTTACAGCGAGGTATTGGTGTTTGTAGTTAACCCTGCACTTATCTGCGTATAGATTCATAATGTTTCGTACTGGGCAAGCCATGATCGAGTCTGGTAGTTACTGCGTCTATACCTACTATTTAAGGGATGTGTTTGGAAGTACTGTCATCAGACCACCGTGGGGACGATGGTTTAGTCGTCAGATGGGGCGCCACATCTGTCTGGCTTAACCTCTCCTTGTAGAAGCGGTTAGTTCGAACCTGTGCTTCCTTCGGGCGGCTTCGAGCGACTTTTTTTGTGTTTCTTTTAACCCTCACATTTTAGTGACTACTTCCTGAAGTTCCTCGTCTTCATCCATCCAGCATATTGATACATATGCATGACGTCCTAGCTAACAGTATCTGAGTGCACTTTTGGGTCTCACGCTTCTCAGTTGTTGCGGGAAGAGACATCAGTTGGGTAAGGAAATTGGATCGTCACCCGTTTGCTACCTTTTGAACCTGTGAGCCTTTCGCAATAGCCCGGGCACCCTGACTTGCTATAGCCGCCCAGGTTTCTTCATCGTGGAAGCCCGTGTCCGTAACATTGCGGTGATGATAATATGTGTCCCTGGACCCAGCCAGGGCTTCCGGTGAATTGACATTGTTGTTTAGGTAGGTATAGGTTCCATGGTCGCGTTTGTACGTCTAACAGTCTCATTTTTTTGCTGATCTGTCTCTTTGTCTTCTTCCACGCCCAGCAACATGATCTGCATGTCCACAAAACCCAGACCACCCACATGATTGAACAATTGTTCATTGATATCACTGTTTCTCGTTCTGCGCATAGATGAAGTTCGCCGCTGTGATACTTTATGTTAGCCCGAGAAACTCCATGAGCCTCTCCGATTGTGTTCTGACTTACCAAAGGGTACTAGTCCATTCTCAACCGCCCAATCTCTTACACCATGCGTCTTGCCGTTCACCACTTCATCGTGTCCCCAGCGCTTTCTCTCCTTGGGCTTCGACAAGTGCAGCTTCTCGCTTGTTCCATTGAACGGCGCGAGGGCCAAGATAACATATCTGTGCTTTCCGGTCTTTTCGGGCGGAGCCGGGGGTGTGTAAGACACGATATCCTCCAAGGTCCCGAGGGAAACGGACAAACAACATCCCTGGGTTTCGGTTTGTTCGTCCATGATGGGACAATCCTCCGTTACGAGCGGTCCAACAGCAATCCAGTGGCAGAACTCGGACCACTTAGGGTCATCTCGTGATGGGGCATCGGGATCGGTAATGACAATCACGAGACTTGTGCTAGAGCGAAGACGGCAAGCTGTAGACGATAACGGGTCCCTGAGTAGAACAGAGGGGGTATCTTGAAGGTCTTCCGGCTTAAGAGTGTTGCCCAGAGATGCTTGGTTGTGATCGGACCAATTGGCTTCCAAGTCCAAGGTGGGAACGAAGTCATCGATAACTGTGTTGGCGATCGTTAATTGCGAGGTCACTCCGGTTTTCTCGACGATGATCCGACTCACCAGTTGGGATGATCTCTGCTTTCTTCAATCTGCGAGGTGCGAGTCAGACGGGTTAAGACTGAACAGCTTATGTTCAAGCAAAGGCCGAATTGTCTAAAGCACTTACTCCTTTCTGACTCCTTTGGTAAACTTTGTTGCTGGCTGGTCTCCATTGACGGGCTTACCAGCTAAAACATGTTGGTCCGGGAACTTGACCAAGTTCGCAGCATGGCCCAACCTAGCAAGCAGGCCAAAGGTAACAAGACCAAACGCCAACTTCATGACTGCACTTTGCGAAGCAAAAAAAAGTCCAAATTCAATAGGATAATCAGAACGGTGTTAGAAATGTAGTTCAGTAGTGCAAATGTTTGTGTCGTCGTGTTCCTCCAACCCGTCGAGCGAAATTGGGGAGGCCTTATCAGGGTATGACCGGCGACTGATAAGGATCCATGATGTCATATGCAGACAGCAGTGCCTGCATAATCAACGGAAAGAACAACTCGTACTTTGCAATGGTCGCTCTTACCTTGTGAAGTAAAAGGTCGGAGTTCATTTTTTACGCTTTCTCGACTTCCCTCGGGTTGACATTGGAATTGGGAAAGAACGTTGCATGATACCTAGTTTTGGGCGTGAGAACCTTGCTGGCCAAGGTGGCTCAGGTGGACAGGTTCTGTCAGATTTGATGCCAGGATGGCCAGACTTCTGGTCTTGTATGTGCGTCTCTGTCTGTATAACCTCATACATGTAATATTTGTATATGTGCAGGAATAACCTCATGGTACGATATCTGGGTTGTTTGATGATTTATTGCATGAAGATAACCTCCTATAACCCCTAGTTCTTGTACTTAAACCCTAGTGACCACCAGAAGGACTAGGACAAGGATCACGAGCTTCATCCATCAATGTAACGATATCACACACATCTTTCATTAACCCACTTTGTACTTTCTGACAGGTTCCGTACCCGAGACTCTGGAGTCTGGATGAAGGTCCCATCAACATCTTTCCTTTCCTTCCTATCATGTCGAAGTCTTCAGATAAATTATCGACGCCTCCAACGCGGCAGGCAACCGATGACTTCCTCCCTTGTCTATGTGGTAAATTCGCGCCATATTAGGGCCAAATACGTTTGTCTAGCTCTTGGAAGAATGGAAGGGAGAGGCAGACACAATGGATTGGAAAAAGGGAGATGTGTGTCTTTTTTCCTGTCACGGTCGGGGACGAGACAGGGCTCGGTGTATAAGCCTCAGCTACTGTCACGAGGTGTTGAGTGAGTGAGGTCATTTGCTTCTCATCGTCCCAAGTACGGCAGTATGAACGCCAAACTGTATTTTTCCCCACCCTGCACCTGGGAACATCTATCAGTGGTTACGCTCACTCCCTTAGAAATGGTCACTCGGAAGTCTTTCAATCCTCGATTCCTCGGACCTCGTTATCGGCTAAGAACTAAGGACTCAAAGTCTTTGTCTCAAAGGTCTTTCGAATCGCCTTTTCTTAGTACATCAAATGGTTACATTTGGTCTACGGTGTTGAAGAGCAGCTTCCGGAAAGATCGTTCAGTATAAAATGTTGGTCCCCAATTTAAAATTGGAGAAACTCGGTCAAAGCTAACTTCAGTTCCAATCTCCAATTTAGAATGAACCAAGTGAGTTCTAAAGTCCAACTAAAGTAAACTCCAAAGGGTTCGTGCTTTTGAACTCCAATTCTAAACCATCATTCCCAGTTTGCACTTCCAATTGAATAGTCTTTCCGAAGTTACTTCTCAATACCGTAGATCAAATGCAACCCTTTGATGTAATGAAAAGAGGAAGTCTGGAAGACCTCTATGACTTTGGAAAAGGATAGATGGAAAAACTTCTGAGACCTTAGCAAAGGAGGGAAAATGACTTCGAAGACCTGAGGCTGCAGGTTGGTTGCTTGGGGGAAGGGGTGCAAGTAGCGGAGCTGCCAGGTGCAAAGTGGGGAAAAATACAGTTTGGCGTTCATACTGCCGTACCAAGTTATAAGAACTTCCCCGCCGCGGTTCGCGATGGAAGGAGCGTAACGCACTGGCAAGTCCTTCGATGGTAAATTAGGTCAAGGACAGGATATCCTGGGACTAACACTAGGGGATACCTTCTCATCCGTAGTTAGTCAGGTGGACAGTTTTGCCCTTACTTGAAGGACAATGAAATGAATTCCTTGAGAATTTCCCATTCGCCACCTCTACGTGCTCCAAGGTGTTCCCGAACAACCATCTCCCTATACAGACAATTATCTTATCGTCACATCCCATCTTCACCTAAACATCAAAGAATGCACAAATTCAGGGACAGGATGTCCTCCATCACTGACAGCGCCGCCGCGCACCTTCACCTAGACGGGGTTGAAAGCCTCAGCCGAAGCCATACTCCCCTACACTTCTCCAGACAGTCGACACCTCAGCCTCCCGCATCACCGATCGAGCTTCTCCGAAGCCATGTCCATCCTTTTCCCTCACTGCCCGAAGCCCTAGCCGACCCCAACAAGGACATCTTGCGATACTTCGACTCCTTCAGCTCCGCCAAGGTCCTGCTAATCGGCGATTCGTCCCACGGCACCTCCGAGTTCTACGCCTTCCGCGCCGCGCTGACACGCTACATGATCGAACACCATGGCTACACTATAGTCGCCTGCGAAGCCGATTGGCCCGACGCTGAGTCCATCGACCGGTATGTCCGTCGGCGCCCAGGGCCAGGCCCACCAGCGACCATCGAGTCCGAAGCCGAAGCGCGGCACGCAGGGAGAGAACTGAGCTTCATGCGGTTCCCGCGATGGATGTGGCGGAACAAGGAAACGCACGACTTTGTCGAGTGGCTGAGGTGTTGGAACAAAGGGAAAGACGCGAAGAAGGAGGCTGTTGGATTCTACGGACTGGATCTGTACAGCATGGGCACGTCTATGCGCGCCGTCATTAACTATCTGGAACATGTGGATAAGGATATGGCGGAGAAGGCAAGACAGAGCTATTGGAGACTGCACGAATGGTCGGAAGATCCACACGAATACGGGCTGGAGACGCTGGTGTCCTCGGGCAAGGGGTTCAAAGGTTATGAGGATGATGTGGTACAGGTGCTGCAGAACTTGCTGAGTAAAAGGCTCGAGTATGAACGGATAAAGTGGGATGGAGACGAGTTTCATGGAGCAGAGCAGAATGCGAGATTGGTAAAAGGTCGGTTTCTCCCGGGGCACGAGCACCAGATAGCAGGAAATTCGTTACTAACTTGACTCTCATCAGATGCGGAACACTATTACAGAGCCATGTATTACGCACGCGATGAATCCTGGAATCTCCGCGATACACACATGTTCCAAACCCTCCAGCGCACCCTCGACCATCGCGGCTCCCACTCAAAGGCAATTGTGTGGGCGCACAACAGCCACATTGGAGATGCCCGCGCTACGAGCATGGGCTGGTCTGCCGATGAAATCAACGTGGGACAGCTGTGCAGGGAGGCTTATGGTAAGAAGGCTCTCAGCATCGGCTGCTTGGGATACACGGGCAAGGTTGCCGCCGCCAAACGTTGGGACGGAGACATGAGTGTTATGCATGTCAAACCAGCCTTGCCCAACAGTTATGAGAGGCTGATGCATGATACCGGTATTAAAAACTTTGTGCTGGACCTGAGGACAAAGCACTGCGATAAGGCGTTGAGGGAAGCTTTGATGGAGAAAAGACTGGAGAGGTTCATTGGAGTCATCTATGCTCCCGCGACGGAGCGACAGTCACATTACTCGTTTGCCGTGTTGCCTGAGCAGCTTGATGGTATTGTTTACTTTGATGAGACGGAAGAGGTGGGTGCGTTGGAGGTTCATCAACCTCCTGGGCCACTTGAGTTTGATGAGACATGGCCTTTCGGGTTGTGAGAAAGACAGGATTCTGGAAAACACCAGCATCTGCACAGCGAACTGTAAAGAACAAGTTGGATGTGGTTTTCTTCCCTGGCTTTGGGAAGGGGTACATGTCGGAACAATATGACAAAGATGAATCGGGAAGTTGATGAAGCAGACCACACTGGAAACGGGCTTCCCAAGGCTTTAAAAATTCTTTAACGGAGACTTACTTTATGATGGGGTGTCGGGGAGTATTTTTAAGTTGCCATCTGATGTTCTTTAGACATTTGACAGGCATGTGATGTCAAGTTGTTGCATTGCCCCCGCGCAAGCACGGAGCTTCTTCTCCAGAAAGCGAGCGGAGCATAACGTCAAACGCCCGTCACTGCGGAAGACCACATATGATAGGTATGGAAAAAAGGCCCTGCATGGGAAGTGCTTGAAAGAACCAAGAAGTGCCAGAGTGCGCGCATAATCCTGTTTGCTCCTGCATCTTCCACCAAAGCAGCTCTTGACTACAAAGACAGGACGGTCCGATTCATCATCGCTGCCATCCAATGCTCCGCAGCCGTTTCCCCATCGACCTGAAGCCCTTTCCACTTTTGTACACCAGATCGATAGCTACTACCGCCTATCACTTAACAACGATGGACCCTGGAAACCGTGAGCGCGGCCTCAAGGCGGCCATCAACAACCCGCGCGTGTCCGAGCAGGCCAAGCAGCGCGATCGCGAGATTTTGGAAAGCGAGTTCGGAACTCACATGCCTGAGGAGTCTACCGCAAATATCGCAGAGGAGGAAGTTCACTCTACTGCCAAGAAGGGTCGTAGCAAGTCGACGGGATCTCATAATGCTTCCACCAGCTCCAAAACCGAGTCATCCACATCTGGAAATCTTGAGGGAAAGGACAGAGGAAATGTGTTAGTCCCCATCCCCCCATTGCGGTTGACATCATGGACCCAACAAACAAACTCAGAACTGACAAGTATGTTTCGCATAGCATCCGCGGACTGAAGGCAGCAATCAATAACCCCAACGTGTCGGAGAAGGCCAAGGAGAAGGATCGCAAGAAGCTGCATGATCTTGGAGAGTCCATCGACTAAAACATTCTTGATACTCAACAATGTTCGTCCTGGACCTGGGAGGGTAAGGAGTCTAAGAAAGTCAAGGAGGTTTGCAAGGCACAAGGAGAAGTCAACAACACCATAAAGGCATTATGTCATGGTCGTTACACCTAGACCTACTCAAATGAATGCAATCTTGGTGAAAGAAGACACGCAGGTGCGTGTCGGATGGCAGTGATTGTTCTTGCATCCCACACGGCGGGAATGATGTAAATCGGAATGCCAAGACCCCACCCCCCCTTTCCCGGCTTACACGGCACGGAGCAGAACATTCGGGGCCGCGGTTTCACTGCCTACGGCGCCTTCCCGTTATCTGTCTGTGGTATGAAACATCCGGGGTTTAAGCTCCGGTCCGTTCCTTTCTCGTTTGATAAGATGTGTGGTGATATTCAGTGACGGATTGCGTGTTATGTTGGGTTTGGGAAAGTCGCCATCCGAACTTGGAGACCGGCAGGGAAAGTGATCAACAAACGACTGCAATCAGTGGCTCAACAGCTTCGAGGAAATCCCCGCAGCCAAGGGCAATCGCATCAGATACGGATACTCATCGCCGATTCAAACGTCATCATCCCCTTAAAAAGGGAAGGAAGTCTCCAAACAGTTTGGTTGTGGACCGTTGGTCACTGTTATCCACTAACAAACACCGCGCAAACTGTCCGCCAAACTTGTTAGCGCAACTGTTTGGGAACCTCAACGGCTCCAACCGGCCAACCCACCCGTTTGTCCACTTCGTGAGATGGAAAGAGCCCCTCTGTGCCACTCAGCGAGGCCAGAACCACCAAATTAAATAAGCCGATCAGCTCCCACCACTCAAGCAACTTCCAATCCTCCTCCACCACTTTCTCGCAACCCCAGCACTGCAACACAGACCTACACTCGACGCAGAAGACTTCACAGACACCGACAACGAAAGTGAATGTGACGCCAGCCAACAACAACACAGCAGCTTCACCCGCACAACCAGCTACGGCTACAGCAGCGAAGAAGCACCAGACAGCACCATGAGCACCACGGACCAGCAGCAACTTCCCTCCCGTGAGGAGCTCCAGCAGCGTGCTGTTGAGGGCCACCCCATCACCACGGACGAGGTCTCGAAGATCGCCAAGACGGAGGCCGAGCTGACGGACGGTCGTGGACCTATCGCCGGCGGAGTTGCCGCGACGGCCCAGAGCTTGAAGGCCAAGCAGGAGCACTTTATTGAGGTGGCCAGCGAGGTGTCTCACAAGCCCGTCAACGAGATTACCAAGGAGGATGCCGCTGCTGTTGAGAGCGCCGAGGTGTGTATCTTTTGTTTCTTTGATGATCCCCTACCATATCATCACCGCTGCGGCAGCAATTCTGACCGATTTGTTCTTCCATATAGGCACGTCTCCTCGGTCACCGCCCCCCAAAGGGCTCGACTGCCGCTACGATCCAGTCGATCGCGGACAAGAACGAAAGACTCATGTCCGAGACCAAGATGGAGCCCGAAACCAAGACGGAGTCCGAAACCAAGACGGGGTCCGAAACCAAGACGGGGTCCGAGACCAAGACGGAGTCCTAATCGGTTGGGATTCGTTCGAAGTTTGCCATGATGATTACGACGACATGGTTTGCACATTTAGGCATGGAGTTATGGAGGATAGGCTTTGCGAGAGGTTACACAAGAGACATGTCATATGGACACTGACGGAAAAGTCTTGGGTGGGAAGAACTTGATTGATTTAAATAATGCTAGACTTTATATCTGATGTTTGCAAACGCACGTCAACTTCACGTAGTACAACACAAAGAATAAAAAAAAAACACATATTTGACATCACGTGTGAAGACTGCTTCTATGAAAGACTTGAGCCGGCCCAAGGTGTTTCACTTCATCCCATGTTCAGACACCCCGAGAGATGAATCTTGACTGCCAGACTGTTCCTTGCAAGTGATACCTGTATGCTTGATGCCTAAGGAAGGTGAGGTGAATATCATCACTGCACTGAATATAATAGGGTCGGTCATTTCCTATCAAGGCGTGGTGATCACCAAGACGGCAAAAAGCTAAAATGCTGTAAAGTAAAATGCTTGTTTGCTTGCTATCAAGTCAAGTCAGGTCTTTCTAGGTCATGTCGTCGTTACAAAAACAGATCATTATTCACCCCCCCTTTGACGTGTACTCTAGGCAGAGTACCAGTCAACCAAAGCATCCTCGCCAAGCTTATCCTTGATGATGCGCTCGCTCAGGTCCCAGAGAGCCTGACCCAGAACGGGGTCGGAAGCCTGGGAAGTCTCCTTGCCAGGCTGGTCGGGGTCGCTGAAGTACCACCCGTTCAGGTTCTGCTCCTCGATCTTGGGGTCAGTAAGCGCCCACAAGGCACTGTAAGAACCCTGCTTCACGTCACGGCCAAAGGCCAGCATGGACCATGTGAGAAGCTTGCCGGTGATGCCGGGGTAGGCGTCCTTCCATTGTTGCTGCATGGCGGTATTGACCTGTTTTTAACCTACGTTAGCAAGACGAAACCAAAGAAAAAAAAAAAAAAAAGTCCTCGGCGATCGAGGGAAGAGGAGTGAGGAACTTACAGCACCAGGATGCACCGAAACCGAATAGATATTGTCCCCATTCTTCTTAATCACCTTCTCCGCCAGCCCGTACTTGGCAAACAGAATCAGCGCCAACTTCGTCCGGCCATACAGCTCCGTCGGTCCCAGCTCCGGGTTATTGATCTCGTCCAGACTAGCAAAATGCACAGCGCTCGGCGCCGCCCGATGCATCTCGCTCGCCTCAAACACCACCCTCGGCGCCGGCGTATTCGGCAACTTGCTCGTTTTGCGGAGGACCGGATACAGCTGATTCACCACATAATACTGCCCCAGATAGTTCACCCCAAAGTGCCGATCAATCCCGTCCGCGTCCAGGCCGTACTGGTTCGTGTTGATGCCCGCCGACAATACCAGGAAATCCAACCGGTCGAGCTGCTCGCGCAGTTCCGAGAAGACGGAGCGAACCTGTGAGAGGTTGCCCATGTCGCATTCGCGCCATTCGACGACGGCGCCGGGAGATTCGGCGATGATGGTCGCTTTGGCGTCCTCGCCTTGCTCTTCTTTGCGGTTCACCATGATTACTCGGCAGCCGGCGTTGGCGAGGGCCCGAGAGACTTCGAAGCCGATGCCGAAGGCGCCGCCGGTTACGACGGCCACGCGGCCGTTGAGGTCGGTGGGCTGGACGGGCTTGGGGCCGATGCCGGTGGCTTTTTGGAGGATGGATTGCATTTTTGGTGTGCTTTGTTCTGTTGTGAGTTGGGTGTTTAGTTTGGTGGTTGGTGGTGTAAGTGGTAGTGGCTGTTAGTGTGCTGGTCTCTGGTAAGGGTATCGAGAGATTATTTTGAGAGTTGAAAGATGTGAAGAGGAAGGAAGAAGTACAAGTAAAGTTGGAGGAGGGAATCAAGTCAACTTTTGATGCTTTCCCATTGAAGAATTCGTCAACGTCATTACTGTCCTACTATGTACACCGGTCGAAGACTGAAGGGGGAACATCCTCGATCATCGTGACGTTAGCTCCAGGTACCAGCTGCAAAGTGGGGCCAGTGATGACATCACCACTTTCCTGAACAGGAACTCGTTTTTGACACTTCAGATGAACGACTTTGCCGCTATCCGAACCATTGACTTGCAATCATCAATCGAGGGGTAGAGCTCGCCTATACAGTTAACATGACGATATAAAAAAGCGGTATAACAACATGGGCAAAGACAGCCATCAATTCTGCCCCACTATTCTAACCCTGGGAAAGAGAGTGACCGCGGACCCGTACTGGGAGAGAGAGAGAGGGGGGGGGGGGGGGGGGGGGGGTCTTTCGATCTGTCCGCGAACGGTCCTATGACAATTCGGAATTTAGTGACCTGTTCTTAGAGCCCTCGAGTTTTTTTGATGTTTAGATGCACTAACGTTTCACCTTTGAGAGATTTCGTACCTAATTGACCGTTAATTCACAATCTTTTGACAATCCGAATATCTCAGACGTTTAGGCATTTGGACGTTTCGTCGGGCGGGACAGTCAATTGATGGTAAATTGGCAGTCGTAACCAGTTTGACATCGGGGGTTCTCGAGGTGTCTAAGTACAGATCGTAAGACCCCCCTCCTCCCAGTACGGCCACTTCAGCTTCATCCATCCATCCTCTATCGTCCTTCTACAACATACGAAGCACCTGACCGGTTGAGCTAACACCAATGCTAGACTCAGCAGCAATCACACCAATCCTCATCCAGCTCCCCCTTCTCCTCATCAGCGCCATTCTGGAAATGTGAACGGCCCCAAGTATTATCACCCTGGACTTTACACCCCTTACTCAACTTCGCCGCCCACTTCAACAAAAACTCATCCACCTCCTCCGGATTCTCCCCCCTTTCGCCAACCAAATTACTCGCCTTGACCTTCACCATCTCCCTCTCCAGCTTATACACCGTCGAAAATGTTAAAAAGCTCATATACGCACTATCCACCGCCCCGCTGATCCACGCATGGTGCGTGCTCAACGCCTCGCCGCTCATAAAGAACTTACCGTTGCAGTACACCTTCTGGAAAGCCGGGTAGAGATCCTTGAACTGGCCCGGTCCGAAGAGCGCAAAGGCGCCTCCCTGTAAGGGGTCGTGAGACCATGCGAAGGCGTGGTGGTCGACGTACTGCGACCGGAGGAAGTCGAGCGTGATGGGCATAGGGACGGTGGAGGCGAGGGTCTTGGGGTCGGCTTTGGAGAAGAGCTTGACTAGAGCGTTGAGGCAGACGGAGACGACCTCATCGTCTTTGGAGGGTTTGGTTTTGGTGTAATCTGGCACCAAAGCGCCCATGCGAGTAGCATCCTGCGCCCAGGAGTACGAGACCATCAGCACGGCCGGCTTGTCGGGTCCGTCGTTCCAGGACGGGTAGACGACGTTGGAGATGGGCAGGTCCGTGGACGAGACGCCGCCTACAAGAGTCCACCATGGCGAGGCAAACTTGATGGCTACTTTCGTGGCACGGTCGTAGCTGAGCGAGCGGATGCCGGTCAGGATCTTGTCGGGGAGGTGCAGGCCTTCGATGTCGATGCGCCGGAGGGGGGCCATGGCGGTGGTGGAGAAGACGGCGCTGTAGTCGGTTGTGGATGGTGACTGCCCCTTCGGGCAGGTGGTGGTTACGCTGATGGCGGAACGGTCAACGGTTTCTGACATGGCGGTTACGGGGCGTGAAGTGGTGATCTTGATTCCGGGGGCGCCCTCTACGGGCCAGTCGGGCTTCTCAATGAGCTTTTGCATTTCCTCAGCTACCTGGTTCATGCCACCTTCGAGACGCCACCACTTAGCCTTCTCGGCCGCGGCGAAGTCGCAATAGTCGCAGATGGTCTCGGTGAAAGCCTGGTCGAAAAGGCCGGTGGACGTATCAGACGCCTCGCCCATAGCCGTCTCCTCATATGTCAATCTGGTTACGATGGTCAGTACTTAAGGTGAGTTCATCCTGTCTCCGCAGTTCAGACTTACTTTGGGCAAGCTTGGAGCATGAGCCATGCACGCGTGGAATAGTAGTCATTGGATCCGTCCATGTACTTCTTGAAAGCCATGTCAAAGCTTTGAGCCTGAGTGAAGCTCTTGATGACACTCTTTATCGCACAGTCGAACTTGCTTCCACTTTTGGTCCTCAATGTTAACTCAGCAGGCCTAAAAGCACACCGATACTTGGTACTCACTCTGGCTTCTTGTTCTTGTACCACCACATATGTGGAACTGGAATTTTGCCTTCGCTTTTCTCCGTATAGTTGTATTCCACCAACTTGTCACCAAGTTTGAGAAACTTGATGAGGTCGAGGGCACTGTTGAACATGTCAGTATCCCGCTGCTAAACCACATTGTGCCCCTGATCCCAGCGCGATCTCAATAACGGCCATTTAATATGTGAAAGCGGATAACTTACGACTGCATAGTCTTGATCTCCGGAATCCTCATCGCACCAATATCATAATAATCATGCTCCGAGTCCGGCTTCTTCTTATCTGAGAACCAATGGGTATAGAGCCTTCCACCAACTCTATCCGACGCTTCAACAACATCAAAGTTATAGATCCCACTCATCTTGAGCATCAGCGCAGTGAACAAGCCAGCGACACCAGCGCCCACAATGCAGATCTTGCCCTTAAAGGGGGGTTCTCCATCAGAAAGAAGACCATCGCTCTCTTCGACATCATCTAGGGACGACGGGACATGGCGGAAGATGGGCTTGAGACCGCGGTCTTCTTCTTTGGACCATCCGTGTCTCTTGGCGTGCTCCTCTTCCAGGTATTCTCGCAGGAGATGCTTGGCGTAGGCGATGCGAAGGCTGCCGCCGCCGCCGGGGGGGAGGAAGTCGATGTCTCGGGGGATGTCGGTTTGTAGGTGGGCCATGGTTGGCGCTTATGGGAGCCTGAAAAAGAGGATGATGGGGAAAAGGATTGTGACGGATGGTGTATCTGATTCCCGCAAGTCTTCGTTGTTTGAGACGGGAACTGGCTTTTGTAGTATTTGCTTTACTGCCTTTCCCTCTTCCCTCCTCTCCCATATTTTCTGTCAGTACTAACCATATCAACATCTTGAAAGCCAAGTTCGATAGTGTGCGAATCAAACATGACTTGTGGCTAGCTGATCTTGTCGTCAGCCCCCTCTCTCGTCAGGTTGTGTAACGGCTGTGGATGAGGCTAGAAAGCAATGCCTAAATAATCGAATCAGGCAAACAACCGACCCATTGAGTATCATCAAGAGCATTTCGGTGTCTAAGCTTCGAGTTAAAAGACATATCACTTCCTCAACTGACCGACATTGCATGAGCTGAATAACTAGCACGAAGCTGAACTGCAGAAGGGGATCGGGTCCGCCGAGAGGCCTCGTGCACTATTGAATCTAGCCTCCTTTCTGTCGTTAGCCCCATGGGGATGTTCTAGATCCTCAGATGCAAGTAAACTTTCGGCATTAGTGTCAGCCCGGCACTGAGATTGAACAAGGTGGGTTTTCCTGGATTCGAAGGAAGGGGGCATCTACGGTGTTCATCCGGGAATGTTGGAGACGGGATGGGATGTGAGGTGTTGTCAGATGTTTCCCTGTTAAGGCTGTCCTACAGTAACAAGGCTTTCAGCGGGCTTTCAGCGGCCTTTAGGGACCTTCAGCCCGTTCCAGCGCTATCAGTGCCATACCCCTGCCCTAGTGACAGGGATCTCACAAACCCCAACCAAGACCCTGCATCTGGCCATCCGAGGCCCCCACATAATCGACCCACTATCAACGACATGCATCCGATGTCCGAAATTCTTTTTTCAAACACACACACACAAAAGATGGAAAATGACTCAAGCACCATGCTTCTTCAACCCTTTTCCAAGAACTGGCTTTCAACAATTGGCGGTTAACCAAATAACCGCCCGGCTAGCTCAATCGGTAGAGCGTGAGACTCTTAATCTCAAGGTTGTGGGTTCGACCCCCACGTCGGGCTCAATTCCCGGCGTTTCCAAATGCGCCTTTCTTTTTTCGCTTTTTGTGGTTTTCTTTCTTTTTTTTTTGACTCCCTTAATTCTTTGATCTTCCTCCCCCTTCCTTTCTGCCCTTCAACCTATGCTTTCTTTCCCCTTCTCTCTCCCCGTCAGCGATCTTGCTGCTGCCTCTTCAACCGATGCGGACGCCTTGGTTCGTACATGTACGCGTCGATTTCTGGAGTGTCTGTTATGTCAACTGCTGTCCCGTACCAACTCAGCTGGTGCTGTGGTATGTGCGGTACATGTGATTCTGTGAGTTCGTACGCGAAGATTGAACTCGGGTCTTCAGGCACATTCTGGTGGGTGTCATCGAACCAAGGGTCCAAACAATTCCATGCTTGCGTTTCGAGATCAAAGTTCTCTGGGCCTTGAGGTTGTTGAACAGGTCGCTCTACTTCTCGGATTTGAGGTTCCTCTGTGTGGCAAGGTAGCACTGTAGCCTTATACGGACTGGAGCTTCTTTCAGTCTCGTTGTTGAAGAGCTGTTCCACGGACCTCTTGACCTTCAAAGCGATTCGCTGCTGCGAGGACTGGGGTAGGAACCGTAAGTCTTCATCTTCCTCAATTACTGATTGAAGTTGAAACGGAAGAAGTTCAAGGATCTTTTCGTGATTCATTCTTGGTGATCGTCCGGTCGGTCCGTGTGCTAAATCCGGGTTTTCGTCCTGGTCTTCCTCCTGGGATTAGTCTTTTATCCTGATGCATTATGTCTGGTACAAAGAAAAGACCAGATTGCACTTTCATGGGCTGGGAATCATCATGTCATTAGGAAACAAGACGCGGTATGTATGTTGCCACTGCTCAATGGCTGGTCTGCCCCTCCCCGATGAACGTCCCCAACTTCTCATTTGTTCGAATTGGCTTTCTTGAATTGTTTCTTCCGGCTGGGGAAGTTCAGCGGTGGCCTTATGACGCCGTTTAAGGTGGTCCCTGTTGCAAAACATTTGGTTAGACCTTTCCCGGTGAGTTCTGCCTTGTCTCGAATGCTTTCCAAGACGGATGACCGAGTAAAAGGAATACAAAGAGTTACTAACTTCAACCGATGCATGTTCTCATCTCCGAGATGGGCACAGCTCTTCCACTTCGGTTTGCTGAAGGTCTTTGGGTCGTGCTTGTAAAACGGACAGGCCAGGTAGCGCGTCCCTATCTCCTGCTCTGGGAAACCTTGAGTGTCTTCAGTGGCTTCTTTGGTCAAGCTCCACTCCACATGGTCTTCCTCATCTTCAACATGTGTATCACCCTCGAATTCGTACGGGATGGGCGGAATGTTGGCTTCCAGTGAGGAGGACCTTTCATGCCCGGGTATTGTGCCAATGAACTGTCCTGGCATTGAGAAACCCCAGTCCTGGAGGCACTGACGACGTTCCGGCTGCGGCGGCAGCGATAAGCCGTAATCACCAACCCCTTGACTCTCCGCAGACAAAGAATACACTGGGCCTGTTACGAGAGGTCTCTCGATGCCGTAGTTCTGGTGGATAGGTAATGCGTTGCTTCCGTATGGCTCGGACACGAGTGGTGACGGACTGGTGACATGGCAGTTCAGCAGTGAAGTTTCGGTCCAGGGAGAGGAATAATCCGAAGCCGGATGACATCCTTGTTGTGCCCTCCTTCTAATCTTGCCCCTGTTCATGTTTGGAGAAAAAGTGCCGAGTCAGATGTTATGATGCGGCTCCTGGTGTGTAGAGGTAAGTAGTCTCTTGGAAGTTAGTGATCGGAAGAGATGTTACTCTGTCTGTTGGCAAACGTAGATGCCAACCTACCCCTGGTCAAGTTAATTTGGTGTAACAAGATACCTTACTATCCCCTCATGAAGTTCGAGTGAAGGAACAGAACAGAAAACGGACAGCAGTATCAAAGGAAGAGTTCCGGGCTCTTATATGCCGTTAGCTTCCCAGACACGAAGGATACACGCGGTCGAGTAACACCAGGAACTAGACCTGACATTACTACCTGCAGACAGCAGCAAAACTGACCTGATGGAGGTGGCGGCCAGCTGGATTGCGGGCGGAACAACAAATTTTCTGCCTGAGCGTTGTGGGATCAAGTAAAGATGCGGGGCACAACATATTTGTCCAAAGCCATAGCAACATTGCGAGATAAGGCAACGAGTACACACAGCCTGGCAATATGGAGAGAAGGATCTCAAATCGCTAATGAATGGAATCCAATACGGCAAGCCGGTTGTCGCATGCAACTGCTCACGCATGTTCCCAGGGACTGTCGCCGTCAGTCTGCCAGGTGGAACAGGTTGGCTGACAAGCGGGACAGCGGGCCGACGACACTTATGCCAATATTGCATACGACTTACAAATAGGAGACCATAGGACAGAGTCGCACAGCTGGGAAGTAAAAGAGTCCTACGGGGCAGATTCGAATCCCTCCTTTAGCACGCGCCCATCCCACTGCTGTTGTTTGATGTCACCAAACAATCGCAAACTCGTACGGTCAAGATCACCGCGGCTCCATATCCTCCCTTGGAATCAGAAAACAGCAGACTGCTGGCGCATATTGTATTGCTTCAACCCAAAGTTTCACGGCCATTGATTGGGCAAAATAACAGCAGCGAAATATTCAGGAGATATGTTGAAACATCGTCAATACCAATGATACTCTCAGGTACAAATGAAACAAAAGACAACACAGTGGGCAGAACATTAAATGCAAAAATGGTAAATTATCAAAACAAGCCGCACCTAACCAAAACGCCTTTCATACAAAACAAAACCGATGTATACAAAAACAATACCGCCGTAGTCTTAGCCAAACTCCAACCGACGTAGTAACACCTCCTTCAGGCTCACTGATCCTGAAATTACGGCTCCTCAGAAATATCCTCCTCTTCCACCTCCTCCTCTTCTTCCACCTCCTCCTCTTCTTCCACCTCCTCCTCTTCTTCCACCTCCTCCTCTTCTTCCACCTCCGCCTCACCATTCCAATTAGCAGGTATCTCACCATCCTCAATGAGCGTCTGAACATGCCGTTGTTGCTCAGCATAAAACCACCTCAACCTCTCTTTCATATCCTCCGATTTTTTCCCACCGTAATACAACTTATACGTTGTCTTACACATTTCCTTCAACTCCTCCAAACCCTTTCCTTCGAGATCTTCCTCGTATCCCTCGGGTTCATCGTACCACATCAACTCGTCGATAAGACCGTCGACGGTATTTTTGGCCCTATACGTGAGTGTTCTGTGCTCGTCGCCAGGGCCAGCAATTAGTCTTTTTCTGCACTCCTCCATCAGGTCGGCCTTGCGCATTGCCTTAAATCTGGCCCTTCTGGTCTGCCTCCAATCAAGTTCCACAACGTCATCCTCTGACTCCTCAGCAGCTTCTGACTCCTGAGCAGCCTCTGCCTCCTGAGCAGCTTCTGTCTCCTGAACAGCCTCTGCAGCCTTTTGGGTGGCCTTTCGTTGCCTCTCACTCTGTCTGACGGGGGCCTGTGGTGCTGGCGTTGGCTCCCTCCGGGCTCGTTTAGCGGGCTTCGGCTCGGTGTCGGGTGGCGGTGTCTTTCTCTTGTTGTTGGGGCTCTGGGCGGGATTTTCTGTGGGGTTTTCTTCAGGGGTTTGCTTGGACCTCTTGCTTGATCGACCGGACGACTCGTCGTCGTCATCTTCCGCTCCACGCTTACGAGGGTTGGAAGCCCCTGACTGCTGGTTCAGCTTCTCCTGCTGCTCCTTGTCCCGCGCCTCTTGCGCCTTCCGCTCCCGCTCCTTCTCCTCCTCCTTCTCCCGCTCCTCTCGCGCCTTCCGCTCCCTCTCCACTTGCGCCCTCCGGAACCGTTCCTTCATCTCCCTCTGGTCCTTCTCCATCTGCTCCTTCCTCTTCTTTTCCCGTGCCTCTCGCGCCTTCCGCTCCTGCTCGTTCAGGCTGTTCAGCTCACCCGGGTTATTTGTCACTGCATCGATTACTTTATCGAACGACATGTTCGCCTTGTCTATTAGTGAGTCGTCCTGCATCGCCTTAAGTTCATCCTCCATTTGCTTGGCGAGCTCGGCGAGCTCCTCTTCCGCCTCCTTATCTCGCTGCTCTTGCGCCTTCTTCTTCTCTTCTTCTTCCTTCTCTCGCGCCTCTCGCGCCTCCTTCTCCTTCTGCTCCTTGTGCTCCTTCTCCTTCTTATCCTTCTCCTCCTTCTCCTTCCTCTTCCTCTCCCGATTTTCTCGCGCCTTCCGCTCTAGCTCCTTCAGACTGTCCTGCCTAGTCGGCTCAAATACTATATCCTTCAACTGTTTTTCCGCCTTGCTCTCCCGGATTATTCGTGACTCGTCCCCTAGCGCCCTCAAATACTCCGGGTCGTTCTCTCGCTCGGCTTGCTTGACTTGCTTGTTGACACTCGCAACATCTTCCTTCATCATGAGGCCCCAGAGGCCATGTAAAGATCGTTTCATTGTCACTCTGAGCTTGTCCGCGTTCACGCTACGAGCCGGAGGTTTCGGATCCGCATCCGTCTCCAGGGCGATACACTTCAACTTGTTCCACCCAAGGATGCCGAAGCGGAGAAACGCCATGGCATTCGCGATGGAATGCAAGCTGCACTCCCATTCCTGGGTTTGCCCTGTGACGGGAACATTGAATGCTTCACTCGTTTCGGGAATCTGTTTGTTACAGCGACGAAGCCAAGTTGTCAAACGATCGATGGCTCCGTTGAACCTTCGCTCACGCCCATCCTCCCCCCCGTCGGAGTCAAAGTGCCACAAGTGGCCGGTCTCGCTTTCCCGGACGATTACTGTCCAATGATCGGGCGTACGATGGTGGATAAAGTGAACCGTGTAAAGTGCTCGATCGAAAATCTGCTCGTAAGAAGAAGCGTCTCCATAAATACTGCTAGTACCCCAAACATCTGTGACTAGCTCTGAGAATGTCTGCGGTTCTTGCACATCTTCGCCCCGTGGGCCGGGGACATCGATTAAAAAGGCCATTGGGGCGATCCACCATCGTCTAAGCCCCCAAGGTCCCAATAGTAACCTGGCGCCGGGTTGGTCCTGGACGTACGTGATAAATCGGCAAGCCAAATGATACATTCCTTGGTCCTCGAGATACGTACTACTGCGCATATCAAATAGGGCGTTGTGGATCTCTTTATAGGCGCCCTCGGCATATTGAGAGTGATCACGAAGTTCGAGATTATCGCAACATCGGAAATCCACCCGCTCATAAGCGGGATAAAGTGCAGCAACATCGTTTGTGATAAGAGCGTTGTATGGGGTGTCACGAACGGACCTAACTTCATATGCCGGCAAGGATAGGGATGGGTACGTAGGAAACCGAAATCCTAGGCCTTGTTGCTCATATCTGACCGCGTTGTAAAATGTGGGATGAGGTACGACATGTTCCTTCCCATCCTTTCGTGAAATGCGATCAAGTCCGGCGGGATTCTTGCCTGGCGGCTGGCTGGATGTTCCCATGGCGTCCGAAGGTTTAGTTCCAGAAAGTCCTGGGTTGGATTTCCCGGAGGGGCCTGACTTGGAGTTCCCAGAAGAGCCCGCGTTGGTCTTATCAGCAGAGTTTGAGTTTGTATTCCCGTTTGAGTCTGCAACAGCCTCAGCAGTCCCGTTTCCATCATCTTTGGAAGTGGGCGGTGGCAAAGAGACTCCCATCAGGCCGTGCAAAGCGCTTGTCATTGTTTCACACAACCTTTTTGAAAAATCTAAAGGAGCTGGAGCAGCAGTCTGACCTCCATTTTCCTTTCGGCCCTCATCAACCGCAATTGCTTGAAGTGGAAGCGCGTGCCATCCCAAAATGCCAAAGCGAATAAAGGCCACTGCGTGCGCGATAGCGTGAAGGCCGCATTCCCATCCAGATGATTGCCCCAGAGCCGGAACAAGGAAGTTCTCAGAGACCGTCGTGACCTCGCACTTTTTCTCCAGCCATTCGTTGAAGACCTTGATTGCTCTAGTTTTCCGGTCCTCTCGGTCTGCTTTGATAGAGTCAAAGTACCATGCAAAGTTAGTGGCCTTCTCGCGGACTATGACTCCCCAGTGATCGAGACTGTACGCTGCCTCGTCGTCCTGCTGATCGTAGTCTTCTCTATGATGTACCCAGTGAACAGTGTACTTGGCGCAGTCGAATCTGTCTTTATCCTTGGACCTATCTCCGTAGATATTCTTGGACTCTGTGTCATTGAGGTGCTCCGGCGACAATTCATTGATGTTATTAAGCTGACATTGAATATTACCAGTAGTCATGTTTTTTTCACACAAGATAGCGTAATTAATCGGCGCTATCCACCAATCTTGGTTTTCCGCTCTTGCTGGTCCTAGAAGGGCACCTGGCTGCAGGTGCTCTTGAACTTTTGTCATGAGTCTTGTTGCATAATAATGCACCTGTTCGCCAGAAAGGAACCTGCCGTTTCTCATTTTCCACAACCCATTGTGAAGCTTTGCATACACCTTGCGAGAGAAGGGGTCGACGCTCTCAGGCCTAAGTGAAACACCATCATAACACTCGACGTGTACACGCCGATATTTTTCTCGGAGGATTTCTTCGTCCTTCTCATCGAGCTTGTCCATAAAAGGGTACTCGTCGATTTTGTGGAGATCTTTCTTTTCCACACCGACACTTGGGTAGGTAGGAAAGCGAAATTTGCTGAGATCGAGCTGATCGTCATAGTGTTCAGGGAGTGGGATCTTATTAGCATCCACGCGCGGGGGTGGTCTAAGTCCCATTGATAGCTCCATCGCCTTCATCATATCATGTCTCAACTTGGTCAACTTCGCCTTGTCGGTTTTTTCCCTCGCATACGTAGGGATCTCGTGCCAGCCCAAGAGGCCAAAGCGAAGGAAGGCTAAGGCGTGAGCAATGGCGTGCAGGCCACATGCCCAGGGTAAATCTTGAGGAATAACCTGTACGCGACGGTGGCGATTTCCATCGGGAATGTCGGGAATGCCAATTTCGTTTTTGTTAAGCCACTTGTGCAGACTGGAAAGGACGGATTGGTGCTTCTCGTCGAGATTTACCTCATCGTCGTCCTTTGGTGTATTAAGAGAGTCGAAGTACCATGTGTTGCCGGTAGCTCTCTCCCTAATAATGACGGCTAAGTGACTGTTCTCTGTGCCCTTTTGTTTGTGCCTCTGGTAGCACACCCAGTGGACGGTGTAATTGGCTGCTACGGCCCTAGCGCGGTCCGATTCCCTGAGCCTAGTGAGGCCGTCTCCTTCTCCGTCAGGCTGCGCCTTGTCTGGTGTTGGTTTTGATGTTTCAACGGAAGTGAGCTCAATGCTTGCGTTCGGCGGGGCAATCCACCACTTTCCACCGTCGAATTTTCCAAGATCCGCATTCTCTTGCTTTTGGACCATCGAGATTAGTCGGTACGCGAAGTGATGAACGGCTTCTTTCGACGGAGGCCTTGGCATCCGCATACGACTACTCTTAGTACCAGGACAGTAATCAAAGTCTTCAGAGGGTATATAAGCATCACCCTGTCTGTAGAATGCGTGACGCAAGTCGCAAAGACCGTTATGCTGCTGTTGATAGGCGATACGAGTATCGTTGGACATGGTCTGGAGGGTGTCTCCAAAGTCATTGCAGTCGAGGTACGGAATCTGAACCCGCTTCCAGGCATCATAGAATTCATCCCAGTTTCCATTGCAGGGCTTATTGTAAGGAGGCAGCCAGCATTTGTGGAGATCTTCCGGATCTATGCTGAAGTCGATGTATTGTCGCAAGTCGAAATTTCCCAGATGAGAATCACGTTTACCAGGATCTATGTCGTTAGGTATGATGGACGAATCAGTGGCAAACTGGATGCCATCAGCGGCATTAGAAGCCGCCATTGTGTGTTGATGGTGTGGTTTCTCTTGGTCGTCCTGTTGTTCGGTTGTGTTCTGTGTTCTGTGAACAGCTTGAGGCTATAAACTTGGTTACCGGGGGTGGAGGCTTATAACGGCCAAAGAAAATCATGCTATCGGCTTGTTCGTGCCGACCACAACCGTCGATGAACAAGGACAAACTTTGGAATAAAGCGCGGCCGGGCGGGACGAGCAAAGGAGCCATTGTCAGAGATGACGAGAACAATGAAGCCACTGCCGAGTCAAATTCGAGGACAATGGAGCAGGTATTGAACCCGTTGTAGATGAACCAAAAAAGCCATCGTGGCTTGAGCCTTTGGTGTTTTCAAGCCCATTGTTCACAAGAGCAGCTGAGCAGAGCAGCCTTAGTTGGTGCTAAAGACGATGAAGGATCTACATCGTATCCGGAAGTTGACGGCAATGGTCCAGGCGGTCATGTTCGCAAACCCGTAAAGGTGAGAAGAGTGAGCAGTTGAGCAGTGAGGCCCCCATCATGAAAGCCATGGCTGAGGACCCTAACCCTGAGTTGGCGTTTGAGCATCAATCAGAACGCTTGAGGCGGAGGACATGGAGTGAACATCAGATGAACGCCCGGCAGCTAACAATAAAAGGAAAGAGATAAAGGAAGAGTGATGGGGATGAGCAGTGAAAGAACACAGCTGAGGCAAGATTTCCAACAAAGAAGATGCTGTCTGTAGTGGTCCTTCCTTTTGCTGTCTTTGTTTTCTTCTTGCTATTTTTGGGAAAGAGTGCCCCTGAATGGAAAACGTCACAAAAAAACGGGCTGAAGGGGACGGAAGTGGATTGTTAGACCCACTTTTCAGGAACGGGAGCTTGGCATCGTGGCAGGCTTCTCCGCCGAGACTCCGCAAACTGGAAGGGTTCACATATGTCAGCCGCACCCCACTTGTAACGCGCCCTGAATTCTGGAATAGCCCCGTTTTACGCCCCATTTCCTACCAATCGTCTCAGTAAAGCCCACTGTTAGTGAATGCTTGGGCCAATGAAAACTGTACTGGCACTACTGTCGAAACTTTCACTTCCATGGGACGACGTGGCTTGGCAGCAAACCTCCTTCCCTTCCCTTTTTGGTTCTTACCTACTCTCAACTTTTCACTCTTTCCCTTTACTACATCGCCCTTCTTCATCCTCATCTTTCATCAATGATGAAGGCCACACCCACAATCTCTCGCCTTCTTACCCGATCAAGCAATCGCGTCCTTGGTGTCTCTTTGTCCCAACCCGTCTCATACCCTCTCACCTCACTTCTGCTTCACTCTTCTGCCACTCCAGCCAGAATCTCGACTGGCCAGACACTTCAGCTCGCTTACCGCAACGGCCTGACTCCCCATTCAGCCTCTTTCTCGACCTCTAGCCCCTCTCACCAGGAGGCTGCTGCTGTTGCTCCCGCTCCCCAAGTCTCTCCCGCCCCCGTCGCTGACATGCCGGGTGTTTACGCCGATATGGCTGGCCGCCTCGATGCCCGCCTGCTCAAGGCCCTCGACGCCATGGGCTATGCGAACATGACGCCCGTTCAGGAAAAGGTTCTCAACATGGGCTCCTTTACCCAGGACTGCCTCGTCCAGGCCAAGACCGGCACCGGCAAGACCATTGCCTTCCTTCTCCCCGCCCTGCACACGCTCTTGAACGCCAAGGACCTTAACCCTTCCCAGGTCGCCTTGTTGATCCTGGCTCCCACGCGTGAGCTCGCCCAGCAGATCGTGGACGAGTGCGAGAAGCTGGTCAGCCAGTGCAATCCCAGGTTCGAGTGCCATCTTGCCGTTGGTGGTAGCGCCAAGGCCTCCAGTCTCAGCAAGTTCCTCCGTGGCAAGCCCACCATCCTTGTGGCCACTCCCGGACGTCTTGATGACTACCTGTCCGACGAGCGTGTCAGGCAAAAGTTCAACAACCTCCGCTGCTTGGTCCTGGATGAGGCCGACTGCATGCTTGATCAAGGCTTCTTGCCCGCCCTGACCAAAATCCTCCAAAGCCTGCCTACAAAGCAACAGGCTGGCTGGCAGGGTATGTGCTTCAGTGCCACGCTCCCTCCCTCGATCCACAAGGTGCTGCACCACGTTCTTGCTCCTAAGCACGCTCACATCTCCACTGTCGACGAAAACGAGGCCCCAACCATCAACAGCGTCCCTCAGTCATACATGAAGGTCGACTCAGTTGACGATGTCCTTCCCACTCTGCACAACCTCCTGTCAGCCGAACGGTTTGACAACCCCAAGCTCAAGGCTGTCGTCTTCTGCTCAACCGCCAGACAGGCCGCTCTCTTGTACACCCTCTTCGGCCACACCGGCGGCGCTTCCCCCGCGAAGCTGCCTGTTTGGCAGATGCAGTCGCGCATGAACCAGGCGCAACGCACCAGGACGACCGAGGAGTTCAAGAACACCGAGAGCGGTATCCTCTTTGCCTCGGACGTGGTCGGACGTGGCTTGGACTTTCCCGACATCCATCTTGTCATCCAGGTTGGAATTCCCCTTAACAGCGAGCAATACGTTCACCGTGTCGGAAGAACCGGTCGCGCTGGAAAAGCTGGCCGCGCCGTCTTGATAGTCACCCCCGAAGACTTTTGGTTTGTGGAGCGCAACCGCCAGTTCCCCATGGCCCAGTCCAAGCTGGATCATCCCAAGGCGGCCGCCGTCGACTCGGCCTCGATCATCAGCCAGTCACTGGCCAAGGTTCCCGATCAGGTCAAGGCCCAGGCCTACGTTGCCTATCTCGGCTTCGTCAACACCATGCGCAGCAAGATGAAGATCACCCCCGCCCAGATGGTTCAGGTCGCCAATCGTTATGCCTTCTCCCTTGGCTGCGAGGAGCCCCCGGCCATTGAGGCGTCTACCATTGGCAAGATGGGACTCAAGGGTGTTCCTGGCTTGATCAAGAACACCGGCCCCTCTCTGAGAGGACAGCGGAACGGCGGCAACAGGCCGAACCAATCTGCACCCCGCGGTGGTGGTCGTGATGCTGGCCGTGATGCTGGCCGTGATGCTGGCCGTGATGCTGCTCGCGATGTGGATGCTTCCTTCTTCGGCAATGGTTCCAACGGAGGCGCTTCTCGTGGTGGTGGTGGTGGTGGTGGTGGCGGCCGTGGCCGCGGTGGCTTTGGCGGTAGAGGACGTGGTGGCCCTGGCGGTGCCGGTGGCGACAGGAACAGCGGCTTCAAGAAGCCGCGCGACGACTCTGCGCCCCCCGGTTCTTCAGGCGGTTCCCGGAATAAGAGACCGAGACGCGAGGACAACAGGCGTGAGGCCTTCTGATTGATGCCGGACCGCGAGAGAAGCACACGACTGGAGGGATAGATCCCTGTTATTGATCATGACAAAGATACCCAACCTGGCATTTACGATACCTTAGTTTTACAAGCACAAACGTTTTGTTTTGTTTCCTTGACGACACCACGAGGACTGAGATAGACACGGGCATTTCACATTATCACCTAGAGTTTAGAATTGGTGTTGGAAAAGTTCTATTCTCTTGTTTGTTAGATAGACCGGATAGAGTTAGCAAGGCGTTCAGGCTAGGCCAGGGCACAGTCATAGACACGATTTTCATTTTTTATTCGAGTTAACCTTTTCAAGCCTCTAAAATTGCAACGTGTATCCAAGATCATTCATCGTTCATCTAGTCCCACGTTCTCACGCTGATACTAAACTACCCAGCCCTCTCCCAAATCCAAAAAAAAAAAAAAAAAAAAAAAAAAAAAATTCATCGTCCGCTCACAAATCAAACAGCCCTTACTGTCTTCCCCGTTTCGACCTCATACACCCACCCGCTGATAGGAACCTCATCCTTCACCAACTTGGTCCCCCTAAGGAAGTCGATATCGTCCTGAATAGCCTGCTTCAGCTCAGGGAAGGGAAGGAAATCCAACTTTCTTTCCTCAAGCTCCTTTCGTGCTTCGACACTGTTTGTTCGTTAAGTTAGCAAGTGTCCCAGTTCAGTTATGACCTGTGTCTCAGCCATCACCTCCTTATCAGAGAAGGAAACTAAAATGGACATGAATGATTAAAAGGAAGAAAGATACGAACCCAAGATTCCCCTCAACAACCCCATAGGCATCCTCATTCTTAAACGTCAACATGCCGCACCCGGTATGCTTGACGATGACGATGGCTTCTGTGGCCAGCAGCTGCTGGCTGATGACGATGCTGCGGAGGGCGTCTTTGGTTGATGCGCCGGCCTGGTTTTTTTTTTTTTTTTTTTTTTTTCGTTTTTACCAACCAACCGTTCGTTAGCCGGCAGTCAGTCACTATTTCATTTCACCCCTTCAACATACTATACTGTCAATTGTCACTCTACCAGCTCCCACGCAGCCAAAGACGGCAAGAACTAACTCAAGTAACGCAAGGAATCGAAGGGAAGGAAGGGAGGGAGTGTACCAAGGGGAACGAACATAAACGTACATTCCGAATAACATGGGCATCCCCCAACTCGATCCCGAACGCTTTCGCAGGGTCGATCCGCGCGTCCATACAGGTCAGGACGAGATACTTTTTTGCGGGCGGGAGGGCGAGATGGCCTTTGTCGAAGGTGGAGGAGTAGGAGGCCGAGGCGGCCTCGAGGTGGGTGGCGATGTCTTCGTTGGTGACGGGCATTTTGGTGGTTGATGTTTAAAGTTGATAGAGACTTTGGGGCGGTGAATAGAGGGTGAAGTTGATATGTCTCTGCTTGTGAAGAGGCTTGTGAAGGGGTATTGAGGACTTCCATTGATCTATCGTAGCCAAGCCCGATGAAACAAAACGAGTAGAGATATCGTTCCGAGTGAGTGGATACAGTTATAGAACTGGTGTTACCGTCGCGGCAGTCAGACTTTATATAGATGACGTTGGATCAGTAATATAAATATATATGCCATTCTCCCCAGCTTCATGGAAACCCCATGGAGAGCTCTCAGCCAAGCAAGCCCCTCTGGTGGGATTGCGTGCTCACCGAACGGGACCGAACCCCCTCCGGCTCTCAGCTTTGTTGCCCCTCTCCGATGGCGTTGGAGCCAACCAATCAGGCACCAACTCTTCGTTTGCGAATATCTACAACTTCTGCATATACTGTGTGGTTGGCGAATTGCATCACAGAGTTTCTGGATTTCACCATTCCTCTGATCGACAGGAACGCATACATGACACACGCCGGTCGTTGTACCAAATCATCGTTGGTTATGGTATAAGGCGGTGACAAAAGGAAAAAAAAGTGATATACTTTACCGCTGTTTAAAAACGCCAGTCAACCAAACATGTCTAGATTGTATAGTACAGAAGGGGGTAGTGTACAGAGTCGAAGTCATAAGCGTAGCTCGTTCAGCCATTGCAGGGTACGCTGAAGCAAATGTAGGGCTGAGTCCTGACAACAAACAGACCTCTTTGTTGTTGTACAAGATGATTAGTGAACTTGAGCTAGGCGCCGCTTCGGAGCACGGCTTCAAATCCAAGAATCATATGTGTTGCTCCATTAGGCGAACCGCCAATGTTGTGGACATCATCTGCAATTCATATCCCACTTAGTTGTTCTTGCGCCCCTTCTGCTTCTGCTTCTTCAACTCGAGACGAGCAAGATAGGCCTCGTGCTCCTCCAACGCTCTCCTCTCCTCATACTCCTTGGCACGCGAGTGGATGTTGGTGTTCTCATTCTTCTTCTTCCAGTCCTCAAGCTTCTCCTTCACAAACTTGCTCGAGTCCTTGATGTCGCCGAGGATGGAGCCCGAGTCGACAGGGGTGGCGGTGGTATCCATCGTCCTAGGCGCAACATACTGAATGGCACCGCTAGGAGCCGCCTTGGCGAAGGGGGAAGGCCCACGCATGCCGCCGGGGACAAGCTCGGGGAGACCAACCCACCGGCGGAAGGCGGGAAGGTGGAAGATGCTGGCCTGGAAGTACTGGCCGATCGCGGAGACAAGGAAGTACCACTGCAGGGCAGCGGGAAGCCACGCGGTAGCGAAGATGGAGATGGGGACAAGGACAAGACCCATCGACTTCATCATGCGCGCCTGCTGGGCGGCCATGTAAGGGATGGGTTTCTATGGCAAGAGCACATTATGTTAGCAATGCATCTTTTGAAGGCAATACCAGGGACAGCTTACCCTCATAGAGGCAACAAACAGGCAGGCACTGGCAATGGGAAGGGCGAAGTAAGGATCGGCAACAGTAAGGTCGGGGAACCACAGGGTGCCACCAGTCTCCAGACTTTCGACAGGAAGGGCGGCCATTCCACGAATAAGACGGAACATGCCGAAACCGATAGGAACCTGAATGAAGGGAATGAAGACCTTGAAGTAGTTGATGCCGGCATTCTTGGTCATGAGAGCCATCTCTTGCCTATACTTGACGAGGTCGTTCTGCTTGGTAGTGTCGAAGCTGGCCTCCTTCACCTTAGCCATGATGGCGGCATATCTGGGGTTCTTGTTGAGATCCTGCATCTTCTGGGACTCCTGCGAGGCGCCGAGAGAGGGCTTGAAGATGGCGACTCTGACGATGGCAGCGACGGCAGCAAGAGTGGCCCACCAGGGAAGACCAGAGTAGACGTAGACGTGCTCGGTAAGCCATTGCATCATCGAGGTAACACCCCAGCCATAGTCGAGGCCGAGGGTCTTGAGGAAGCCGATCTGTTCGGGGAGGTTGAGAAGATCGCTGCCGGTAAGCTCGACGGGGGTAGCGGCGACAGCATCGACGGGCGCGGAAGCGGGAGCGGCGGCGGCGGCGGCGGCATCGGTGGCAGCGGCATCAGGACCGGTCGAGGCGTAGCGGACTTGACGAAGAGAAGAGAGGAGCTGGTGGGAAGCGGCAGCAGTCGCAGTGACGCCGAGAGGGCCTCCTATCCTGCGAGAACCCTGGGGGAAGGAAGTGCGCAGAGCAGTGCCGAACTGTCGCGACGAAGGGGCCTTGAAGGACTATGCGCAAAGAATGGTGTTAGTCGCAGCGCATTAGGAACTATACCCGCAGGATGACACAAAAAAAGAAAGAACGAGAAAAGACAGAAAACTCACTGCTCTGGCGAGCCCCAAAGCTGGGGTCGACCTTAGGAGGCCTCGGCTGGGAAGCATCTTGACTGAAGAGGTCACTGGTGTGACTTTGGGGAGACTTCAATGTTCAAGATAACCTCAATCACAAAGACCGGATCCCCTCCAAATCCAATGGGTCAAGCATGGAGTGGGACTCTGCCGCTGGCGACAGACGCGACTTTTTTTCCCCAGAAAAGGAAACCCGGCAAGGGTCCACGGATCTCTGGCCAGGCCCCGCACCTTTGCTTGTCCTGGGTTTCAGCCAGGAACGGCCCGCAGAGCCCAATCAATGGTCACTTGGCAGCTGTCTCAACGGCCTGGACAGCCGCCAAGAGCAGCCGGACAGCCGGCAACTGGCCTAGGGAGCGCACATGGAAGCCCAGCAAGCTTCATTGCGGCATTGCCTGGCCATCACGGTCCCCAATTGCTACCTGTACTTATTTATATAGGAAGTACCTTGAGGGGCAGACCAGAAGCAGAGAACTGTCCTGTCGTTGTACCTAGCGTTGGATCTTGTGCACTTTACCATCAATCTTATTTCTCGTAGTACTTTCAGTCGCTGCCAGAAAGCATGTATCCCTGACGCCTGCTAGCAGTCTGCTGTGTTTGCTATATGCAGCCCAGAGCTGTATGTAAATTGGATGCTCAATTCCTTTCTCCCCCTCTTCATGCTCCAAAACGCCGCCTGTGATATCCTGACCAATGCTCGTTTCTGTCAAACGGATGCCCTCAAAAATCCGGCACGGTCGCCGCCGTGATGGTGGGAGTGTTACTGGACACGGGACCTGGACAGATCCCCTTGTGCTGCGTTGGGTAGCAGCGCTGTTTAAGCGTCTATCTCGCCCTTTGATGTTTTATCAAGAATTTGATTTGGGTTTCGGCACTGGTGGCCGGACAGTTGTGTCGTCGCTTTATGTCGTTGCGCTGGGTGGCCTGCGGAAGGCGGCGCGCTCATCACTCCAAGCTGGTCAGGTCATCCAAGCCTTCAAAGTCCACTCTCCGCCTCGACCTCTCGACGACTTCGATACCGGGGCCGATGGGATGCGCCTCTCGCCTACTGACGGGGAAGACCTATGATGTGGTTAGCGCTTTTGAAACCGTGGATAGAGCGAGTTGAGATAGATGTGGTCGCTTACTTTGGTATTGCTCCATCCCAACCTGAACGCAGCTTCGTGAGCAAAGAGCTCTCCGAATCCCAACATCATTCCGTTGACAAAAGGGAGGAACAGGTTGATGACGGCGCTGCGGAATAGCGACCAGACGGTGGGTGGCTGGTACAGAATGACGGCGGGGGAGGACGACGACGATGGAGATTGGGGTGACGTAGATTCGGGCGCCGAATACTGCTCGCTGTCTGACGGGATCGTGACGCCGGACTCGGCCAACGGGTTCGATATCTCATCGGCGGACATGGTGATGCTTATATTTGCTTGCTACGAGGGAAGGTTGTGAGGCGGATGGTAGGAGCGCAGTGTTGTTGGATGCGATAATCGAAGGAAGCTGGCGTCGCAATGGAGAAATGGAAGATGGAATGGATTGATGGGAGAAGCAGTGACAGGTCGCGAGCTAGGCACGGGGGCAGGCAGACCAGACCGAACAGCAGAAAATCCCCGCCGGCTGGCGTCACAGGCTCGCCTCGCAGGGATGAACCTGACAGCTTGGATCACTTTAGCGCGAGCATTTGGGGAACAGCGGGGCCAGCAAAGCTTACGTAACAAGCAGGCCAGTAGCAGCCCAGGCCCAGGCCGCAGCTTCCATTTGGCGGGGCGGGGCAACTTCAGAGGTCCAGGAAGCTCCCGCACTAACAGCTGGGCAGCTATCTAAGCAGCGATTCTGCGGGGAAGCTGTTAGTGCCGCCAAACATTCACAGTTGCTACAGGTGCTCATCGGACCCGTCACGTCACGTCCTCCAATGCTGCCTGTGTGATTGACATCGATTCACTTCTTCGTTTTGACTTTGCTTTCACTCGATCCTTTTTCTCCCAAACCTTCATCCAGTCTTAGCGGTGCATACCAACCGCAAGGTACTCGCATTTATTTATTTCCTTCCCTCTACAAACCAAAACACACAGATAACTCTCGCCTTGGAACTCAACTCGAACCCAATCAAGCCATCACCACCTCGAAACACAACAATGGCCGACCACGACGACAAGATCAGCAGCTTCTGTGAGCTGACCGGAGTTTCTACTGATGCGGTATGTTGGAAATATCCCAAATGTTTCATTATAATGCTTGCTGACTGAAACCACACAGGCTACAGAGTACCTGAACAATTACGACTGGGACATGGATGCTGCCGTCGCCGCATACTACACGGAGCAAGACAGCAGTTCTTCCAACACCGGAGCTGCCTCTGCTTCTGCTCCTGCCAGCGCTCCGGCGCCTCCCGAGTATACCGGCCCCAGGACTCTCGACGGCCGCCCCGCTCCCCAGTATGCGCAATCATCCTCCTCGGCCAAGAAGACGCAAAAACGCACCGGCCTTGCGACCCTTAGTTCCATAGGTGGCCGACGCGACGAGGATGACGATGACGACGAGGACGATGAAGAGGATGAGGGTCGCGGACCTAGGGACTTGTTTGCTGGTGGCGAGAAGTCAGGCTTGGCTGTCCAGGACCCTAGTCAACGTGAACCCAACAGCGACACCAGAAGGCTTCTCCAAGACATTCTTGCCAAGGCTAGAGAGTATGTTTCCAAAGTCGAGGGCTATGTCCAGTCCATCTCCGTACTAACTACGATGTTTTCCATGCAGGAACTCTCGTGCCAGCGGCAATAGCTCCGATGACGAAGGAACCGGGACCGGAACCGCGAGACCTACCCGCTTCCGCGGCACTGGTATGACCCTCGGCGGTGACGGCGTCGAGTCTCGAGAAATCCCCGATCTCGACCCCGATACCTCCGCCCCGGCCCGTCAGCCAGACGGCCCAACTCAGGAAAGAACGTTGCATATCTGGAGTAACGGATTCAGCGTTGAGGAGGGTCCGCTTTATCGCTTTGATGACCCGGCGAACCAGGCCGATTTGGCCATGATCCGTGCTGGCCGCGCCCCGCTTCGCCTTATGAATGTGAGGCCTGATCAGCGTGTGAACGTCAAGTTGGAGCAACATCAGGAGGAGTGGAGGCAGCTGCCCAAGAAGTACGTCCCCTTTAGTGGTGAGGGCCGCCGTCTGGGAAGCCCTGTTCCGGGAGTCGGATCTGCCTCTGCTACCCCTGCTGCTGCGCCCGCAAGTACCACTACTGCTTCTGCTCCTGCTGCTAGTGGATCGACCCAAGCCCCCTCAACCGGCGTGGATGAGTCGCAGCCGACGGTGATGCTGCGTATCCAGTTGCCTGACGGCAGGCGCCTCCCGGCTCGTTTCAACACCTCGCAGACGATCGGCGATGTCTATGAGTTTATCCAGCGCTCTTCGACATCTCTTTCGGCCCGACCTTGGGTCCTTTCTACGACCTTCCCGAACAAGGATCACACCGATAAGTCTCTGGTTCTGGGTGAGACCCCCGAATTCAAGAGAGGCGCTGCTGCTGTCGTCAAGTGGGTTTAAGGGATATTAATGGCAGGTGGATGGTGTCTCCAAGGATTTTAATGGGTAAAGGGATATTGCTCATGGTCAGATTATAGGCCAACATAGCAAGCAATTTTAGGCTAGACATAATCAGTCTTGTCTGTAAATCAAAAGAACGAATCTCTAATTGAAAGGTTCTGTTGTTAACCATGTTGCACGACACTAAATCTACTGAACTGTCTTCTTCCCTGATTACTTTTGAACGCCTCCGTCGCCGTCGCCGTCGCCGTGGCTGCTATGGGTATCATCAACCCCTATCGCAAATAACTTGCTGTGTAAGAAAATGCAAATCCCAACTAAGAAAAGCATGCCAATCAAAGAAAGCCCAAGACACAATATCAAGGGGACGTTGTGTCTTGTGGGCGTGCTGTATGCCCCCAACCCGAACCACCCCAAACCCAAAATAACAAATGGCCTATCGCCCATCATGCAAGCCTGAATGCCTCTTCTCGATCCCCTCGAACCCGCTCTTCTTCGACGGTCACAATCCCATGTCGTCAATGCTCTCCATCACCAAGTTTCTTCCCCTCAACCCGTCCCCTTCACCTCTACCTACGCCACCTCACCAGTCACCACCACCACCACCGCCTCCCGCAGCCGCTAACCCGCTCAACATCTGAGAACTCCCAATGCCCGCCGTCGGCGCAATCATCGGGCCATCCAGGAACCTAAACCACGGCCTCGCCGCCGCCACATTCAACTTCGCGCTGTTAAACCTCGCCTCGCCCGGCGGCATGCAAACAAGGATATACGTATTCGTCGTAAACTTGGTGACAAACATGCTAAAGTTCGCGCCCATCTTATACTCAAAGTCGGAAAACTGCTCCGCATTCCTCGGCGTTCCCGTAAATTTCGAGCACGTGTGTTTCCACGCTTTCAGGATGTTGGACATGCGCTCGAATCGATCGCCGTAGGGGTTGGATTCCCCCTCTGGAGAAGTCCATTTGGACACCACCAAAAAGGAGGTGCGTTCGAAGAGGAGGATTTCGTCGGCGTCGATTGCTACGCCTAAAGAGGCCAGTTGGGTTTCGATTACGGAGAGGTTGGGGACGAGGTCGTGGATGATGGACGCCCAGGCTTTGTAGAGCGATTGGTCCCAGATGGAGGTGGCGAAGAGTTGCATTTCTACTTCGAGGTCGGGGATGGGGGTGGATAAGGGTTCGGGGTAGGAGGGGAGGGAGCCTGGCACGGCACCAGCTGGACCTGGAGGAGCGCCAGTAACTTCGGGCTTCTGCTTCCGCACAATAGCCACCGCCTCGGCCGTCTTGCGTCTCACGAGCGCAACCCGGCGATCAAACACGTCCTCGCGCGTCATAGGCTGGATCAGGTCCATCTTGTGAATCAACACAAACACCTTCGCCTCGCGGCTGTACTGCACCAGCGCCGAGATGATGTTGACATAAGTCGCCAAGTCGCGGTCGACGTCGCGCGACTCAATGTCAAAGACGTAGATCAATACCCCGACGTTGCTGAACACGTGCGCCCGCTGTTGAGACAGGTAGTTCTCCATGAAGGCTTCCTGCCCACCGCAGTCCCAGAGGTTGAGCGTCAGGTTACCCAGGAACTTGACGTGCGACAGGTCGATGTCGATGGTGGCCCCCAAGCGCCGCGTGTCGCGCGCGAGGTAGTTGCTGAAGATGATGCTGCGCATGGATGACTTGCCGGAGCCGGACTTGCCCATGAGTAGGACTTTTTGCTTCTTGACTTTTTTGAGCTGCGCTTGGGCGGCTGAGGCGGCGGCGGCGGATGCTGCTGCTGCTGCTGAGGCGCTGCCCATGGAGGGCTGGTCGTAGTCGGCCATGGTGACGTGACTCCCGAGTCGGGTGTGGTGTGGTGGTGATGGTGAAGCGGGTGGTAGATGCGTTTGTGTTTGTGTGTTCACGGCGGCCGAGTGAATGGTGAAATTCACGTCATTCAAGATGGTGAGGTGAGAACTGGTGTCGGTAAAATAAAATGGAGAGAGGTTACAGTCGTTTTGGTCGATCAGCTTATCGGTCAATCGGTGAGCACTGAGGGCTGAATGAGGATATGCAGTGTTACTTCGTTCGGTCGGCTGAATAGTACCGAATTCCAATTGAAGGGCGGGGATCGGCCGCTCGATGCTGATGAAACGTTGTTCGTTGTTGAAGAGGGAGCGGTTCATGCAATTGCTGATAACAAAGTTCAGTTCAGCAGACGGACTCTCTGAGATGTCCGTGTTCCCACTCACTGCAACGGACGGAGAGAGCCGCACTGATGACGGCGTCCCCGCACCGGCACGGGTGCCCGACCCCACCGAAGGATCGGGGCATCCATTCTGATCTCCGCAAATTTGGGGAAGCAGTTGTGGCTGGTGTGGTGGGAGCTGGCTCGCTGGGTGTGGCTTCCACTTACACCAACCTTTCAAGCACAATTGTGAAAGTCATCTATGAGAATTGTTGATGCCAGGACGGATATATCAATATAGTTCAACGAGCAATATGCAAGAATCTCCAGGATTGCCTTATGATTATGCTTCCTTACAGCATTTTTGTCACGATATTTGAGAGTGACCACGTCCAGTTTGGCTCACTAGCAACACGCATAACCCTTACCCTGTGTTCAATACTTAACCATCCCCTATGTGTGTCTTACCATCCCCTATGCGTGTCTTACCATCCCCTATGCGTGTCTTGGATAACATCGTCAACTTCCCTCGGGTCAATAAAGCCATTGGTGATGACGAAATACATTCCCAAGCTATATGAGTAGAATTTATATGCTATGCTAATGGTATCAAAAAAGCAAACAACGCCAGCCGTATCTTTAAGTCAATCTTGGGCCTTGCCTTCCAATGCACCTCCTTCTTTCCTTGTCCCATCCTTTGATGCTTTCACATTATTCTATCTCTTCTCACAGAAGTTCATTCAATCTCAATTCAACAACTGCATCCTCCCCCCTCCATACCCAACACTCCCACCCCCTCCAGCCGCCGACCACTGCCTCAGCTCATGCAAATTAGTCTGCCCGATAATATTCCCCCTCTGCGCCCCCAACTCCGTCATGTTCATCGTATGCTTCGCCCCCGCCAGCATCATATGCTTCTGATGGATCCCCTCAATATGCCTCTCATGCATCGCCTGCGCCCTCCCCTGGAACTCCAGCCCCTGATTATAGTGATCCGCACGATTCCTCATGCCCAACTGGTGCGCCGACCGCTGGTGCGCCAGCGCCTGCCGATGGCGCTGGGCGCCCACGTGCATCTCGAACGCGTGCCGGTTCTCGGCGTGGACGCGGTTCAGCATGCTGTGGTCTTTCTGCTGCTGCATCACCTGGCGGTGTTCGTTCCGCATGTGCGCGAGCTGGGCGCCACGCTGCTGCGAGGCCATGGCCATCCCTTCGTTGTGGTGCTGGATGGCGATGGACCGGTTAAGCTGGGCGGCCTCGCGGCCGATGGTCATGTCGACGGCGTGTCGCTGCATCTTGATGTCGCGCTGGACGTGGGCGGCGTTGACGCCCATGGCCATGTGGTTGTTGTGGCGTTGCCATTGGATGGCGCCGTCGACGCTGGCGCCGTTCATCTTGAGGGAGTTGTCGACGAGAGCGGCTTCGGTCTTGATGGTGACGTCGGTCTGGTGATCAAGATACTTGTTCCGGCGGTGCTGGTCGGAGATGTCCTCGTAATGCCGGTATGAGCGGTCGTGGTGCAGGTCTTCGATGACGTCGACTGTCTTGGCCTTTTCGTACTCGCGGCGGAGGGTAGCGGCGTGCTCTTCTTCAGCTTCGCGGATGCGTCGTTCGCGGGCACGGCGCTCCCGCTCAAACTGCTGGATTTCCTCGGGCATACCTACAGCATCATGTGGCTGTTTCTGTTCCATGGTAGCGTAGTACCGGTCCTCGCCGCCATGACCCTCCAGAATCTCGATAAGACCGGCGGTCCTTGGTCCCTGAAGCATGCCCTTCTTGACATACATGGTGGGCGAGTAGTGGTATATACCCTCCATATACATGTTCTCCGGACTGTTCAAGATGCGGTACAAATGCTTGTCTAGGAGTAGACGAGTCATTGCTTCGTTGTCCATGTTGTCCAATGCCAGGAAGAGGATTGTCTTGCCATTGGTCTTGAGCAGAGGGCTGGCGCCACCAGTGCAAAGGATCTCGACGGCCTCCTCTGCAATGATGATATCACGAGGCACCGTAGCCTTGAGAGCCATCTCGCCGAAGGCAGTACGCCCATCATGTTTGCTTGATCTGTAGTTGGGATCGTGCCCGCACTCAACCAGGAGGCGCATTGCACCCACGTGGAGGTTACGTGACGCTTCATGAAGACTACCATCGTTGAGAGAAGGATTGATCCTCAGCAACGCGGCCACAATATCTGCATTGCCCAACCTGGCGGCAATGTACAAAGCCGAACGGCCCTGGCTGTCTTTGGCAGTGACTTTGGCACCAGCATCGAGGAGTGTCTGTACTGCTTCAAACCTCCCAGACTTGACCGCCAGTATCAAAGCAGTAGTGTGAGTTCTCGGCGACGCATATGCGATGTTGGCTATCGGGTTTGTTAGTACAGGTTAAGTTCCATAACATACAGACACGCAGGCACTTACCACCGTGACGAACAAGCCCATTAACAACAGCCGGATCAATCTGGCTATTTCTGGGCAAAAGCGCCCACAACAGGACAGTAACCGGCTCATCGAAACTCCCAGCCCGCACCTTCTTCTCAGTCGACTCCTCCTCTGGGCAAACATCCGACAGCACAGTGGACTCGAGATCACACCCAGCACCAACGAGACTATCCAACAAAGCCAACGACTTGGGGTAGGATTTGAGGCATAGGAAGATGGGCGACGGCATTCCGGGAATAGACTGATTAACATCCGGCGCCGCAGTCCGCCTATCCGCAAAAACGTCGATCAACCGCAGTAACAGTTTCTCGTCATGGTGCGCCATGATAGCAGTCGAGAGAGCATGTGTGGAAGTCATGGACGACGCACCATTGCTCAACAGCCGGGCAAGAAGAACTGGATCACCACGGCTGGCAGCGATCCCGACTGGCTTTCCGTTTTCGTAGTTGACATCGGCGCCGGCAGCGAAGAAGATGTCGAGGAATCTGTTGGCCAGATCGATCTGTGACTCCTTGCAAGCCAGAGTGTCGATGACTTCCACCACGGCCTTGTTGATCACCTGGGTGGAGGCCCCTCCCCGGACGAGGAGCTCCATGACCTCGACGTGCTCAAAGGCGATCCACTGCTTTCCACGGTTGACGACACCGGCCATAGCTTGTGTGAAGATGCTGTCATGGGTGCCGGAATACTCTGCTAGGAGACTGAGGGTATCGCGGTCGAGGTTGGAGGCTGCGTTCTTAATGCAGACACCGTTCTCGTGCGTGGCCTCGGCCCCTGCTTCGAGTAGTGATTTGGCCAGAGAAAGGTCCGTTTCGGCTTCGAGGACGACGTACTTCAACGCGGTGTTCAGATGGTCAAACTGTAGACGGCCCATGAGATCAGCAAAGACAGCTCGCCTGTTCGTCCTGGAGGTTTTTAGGGCTTCATTGATTGCGGTGAAGAGGGCCTTGTAGCTGATCCCTTGGTCGAGGAGCATTCGGAACGTTTCGGGTCGGTGTTGCCGGATCGCGAAAATGAACACCTCGCCATTGTTATGGTTAACAGATGCACGAGTAAGGAGCAACTTGATGAGGGGCCTGTTCCGTGCTTTGGTTAGTCACATTCTCTCTTCTACTCGCCATGTGGGAGTCACTTACGCATTGTCAGGCCCTTCTTTGAAGGCCTGAACCAAGGCCTTTCCCACAGCCTCCTCATGAATCTGTTTGCGCAGAAGAAGCCCAATCATTGACTCCCTGGCCCGCGGGTTGACCAGGTCCATTGCCCAAGGCAAGGCAGCACCCAAGGTTTCAGGCGATGGTTCCCTGCCAACAATCTCTTCTGCAATCTCCGGGCACGGCTTTTGAACAGCAATCTGCAATGCTTCGCCATTTCCATAGTTCACATCCGCCTTTCCTTGCTGAAGCAAAAGACGGAACAGCTTCTTGTCCATCGCTCGATCCGAAGACGTCTTGTGGGGCATCCCGGGCTCGGTAATAATTATCTTGACGACCTTGACCAAGGCCTCCGCCGTACATGGCCCCTGAGCACCCGAATCGATGAGTATCTGGGTAATATCATGGCGCGTTTGTCGGTTATGGATGTCGACGGCTTGTGAAACGGCAAGCGTGAGACTCTTGGGCTGCGGCTTCAGGACAAGCAACTTGCTCAGAACATCGATGTGCTCCGCCTTGACTGCATCCACCATGGCCATTGCTTCATACTGAGGTGGTGGCCTCTTGACCCGTAGGACCGTGTCTAGCAACTGGATGTGTCTCGTTCGTACAGCGGCTACGACGCCTTCCGTCACGAGCCGGGTCGTCTCCTCTCCAGCAGCACCGGCAGACAGACACATTTCGATGATTTCCCGGTCCTCTTCGGTTGAGCGTGCCACCATTGCTTTATGGGCCCTACCAAGAGCAGTATCCAGAGAACGAGGGGAGGGCTGAACCGGGCCGGAGATGAGGACCGCGACTAGATCGGGGCGGCGGGCTTCCACAGCTGCCACTAACGCGGCTCCGCCATCGTGGTTAACATCTGCCCAGCACTTCAGTAGCAGGCTGACAATTTCGAGTGACCCGTTCTTCGCAGCTATCCTCAGTCCGGTAGATCGGCATGTGAGGCACGGCAGTCGATGGCCAGCCAGGATGGCTTGTACGAGATCAACCTGGTTTCGGGATATGAGCTCGAGGAAGTCATCATGCAACTGAAGGGGATTCGCGCCGTGATCCAGCAACGCCTGCAGCACAGCGAGGTTGCCCCTTAGCATGGCGTGGTGCAAGGCGCCATCGAGATTTTCTTGGTCGGCGTGGTGGGCGATGGCATAGACAGTCTCGGAGGGACATCGGACGGTTGCTCGGATGAGGATATCACTGCGCCAGCCTTCATTCTTTCTTCCCGTCAGCTTGCTCCAGGTGTCCACGCTCCTCCTCTTGGAAAAGTTGACGTCGGCGCCGAGTGCCAGAAGGGCCTTGATCACACCCACGGGCCCGTTGGCATCCACCACCTCGTCGAGCACCTGGTTGATTTCTTGGTAGGTAAAGGGCTTTTGGGAGTTGGAGAATGTCCGTGATCGGGTACGAAGACGACCGAAGGATTGGTCGCTGCTCTTGCTCTGGACAGAGGCTCGTCGTGCGAGGATCAGGCGCTTGGCCTCTTCGGTCTCGTGGTCGGCCATGAGGGCCGGTTGGTTAGGGTGAAGTTGCTGTTGTTGTTGTGATTTCCAAGAGAATCCCATTAAGTATTTCGAGTAAGCTGACCGAGGTTGCTCTGGGCGGCACGGTCAAGACAGCATGTAAATATGGAAAGGAACAAAATGAGATGAACGAGAATAGACAGACAATAACGGAAGAAACAAGGAAGAAGGAAAGAACAAGGAAAGAAACAAAACGGCCATGTGCAGATGTGGTCTTCAACGTACAAATTCAACTTGAAGAGGAAAAGAAACTTGCACAAATATGAAGGGCGAACGGGAGTGCCTGGATGGTGTTAGCCATGAGAAATCAACAACAGAACCATGTGTCTGTCACCCACACCACCACCACGAACCAAACATTGCAACAGTCACAGCCTTGGGAACTTTTGGGTCAGTAACTGGGCACACCTTGAACCCATTTCCATTTCCAGAACGGTCAACCGGAGTGGTCAGTTTATTCCCCGGGACCCATGTGGTGGCATGCCTTTCACCCACAGGATGCCATCGATGCCATCGCTGCAGCGCGATGCAGTGCAAATGCAGCGCGTCTTGAAACGACGGACAGGCTGAATACCGGACGAACAAGCGCAAGCGCGCCGCTGCGGCCAATCCGGATGATACGGACGACCCGACCGTTTGGTTGCCAGGGGGACGAATGCTTGACTGGCCATGTTGACATGACCTTTGTCGGGGGGACGGGATCGTGGTCGGCAATGGTTGGTCACCGATGCTGGATTGTTTAAGCGCTGAGAGCTGGGCGGAGTTGCTCCCCCGAAAAGGGACTGTCAGATGTGACGGTGCAGAATTGATTGATTGAACAGTGTGTGACTGATTCGCTCAGAAGGTATAAGGTAGTCTCTGTTACATTGACCTCTCTCACCCCCCCCCCCCTAAATCCCCGACCCCCCCGCGCCCCGCCCTATATTGCATATGGGTCTCTTCGAATAAAGTGAGAAGAGGTCTATAATAATTTTGAACGTTTTGGCCGTTAGCCGCAATAATCCTCATACAAATAAAAAAAGTTATTTAATAGTTATTCCCGATTATCTCAACAATAATAATACGTATCCAAATTTGGATTGTTCGTTATATTTTATATAAACTAGAATTTCCTTATTATATTTTTCTTTTTTTTATTACAATTTATATTTATTATTAGGCATCCCCTAGGGGGTATATTCGTTAGGCGTAATAATCATTATTTTAAGAAATAGATATTGTATTTCTATTATTCTATATTGAATTTATTTAAAATTTAGTACTAATAATAGTTTAATACAATTCTACTTTCGATAAAATTTTCGGCTTTATCTAACACTTTAAAACGTATTCCGATTTTACCGTTTTACTTATCCTAAATAGGATTGCGTAGTAATATATAGTTACTATTATTGCATATACGAATTTAAACGAATATTAATAATTTCAAATTCGGTTTATATATACTATTATTTGAATTCTATTCAACCTAATCGTTCGGTTAGCATTTAATTAAATTCTACGTTAATTTCGCCTAGAATAGGTTAAATATATCCGTTATATCGTTTATTAATATAATGATACTATTTTAATAGCAGTAATTAGCTTTAATAAAAATATTATATTTTAAGTAATATTAATTATCCTACTAGTAAGAGTTATATTATAATTTATACTATTTAACCGTTTCGGTTCAAAATAGAAAGACGTTATTATAAAATACCCCGGCGCTAAATTATTACTTACTAATCAAAACCTCTATTAAATATATAATATATTAACTATTATTTTCGAACTCTTTACTAATATAATTGAATTAATATATTATAAGAACGTATACGTTTGGGATATTTTATATATATTTTTCTTAAACTTAAATAAATACTTTACTACCGGTTTTTTAAATTCTTCCGCGCCCTTAAATTCGCCGCCCGTATAATATTTATAATTATAAATAAATTTTATATAATTTACTAATAGCGCGATTTCTATAAAAAGTTCTCCGATCTTTATTAATTCTATCGGACCCTTCCTCTCTCTATCCTATAATTCGAATATATAATTATTTTAACTAAATAATCTAAATTCTATATATAAGAATACGCCGGTTTTTATTAACCTGGGAAATTTGTAAATTCCCTTCGAATTATCCGCGCTTCTATTAACCGACCTAATATTAGTATCGTTTTCAATTATATTCCGCTAAGCGAGAGTCGGAATTTTAAACGCTTCAAATTCCTCCTCATCCCTACCATAGGAACTACTATACTAAAAATCATTATTCATATTAATAGTAAAAACCTAATTAATAAAGCAAAGAAATATTTTATCTACGCTTTAATAAAGCGTAATATCCGTAACCGAATTAATACCCTTTTAATAATCTAAATTTACTATTTTTATATTCGGCCTCCGGACTAAGAATAGTTTTATTAAAAATTCGTTACCCCCGAATCCTAATATTATATTATTATATTTATAATAATATTAAAGATAAAAGTAAATACACTTAACGTTACCCGGGTTATATAATATAGCGAAGTTATATTTTAAAATATTACGGATTTATAATAGCGTTTTAATTACGCTGTTTATAATAACGGAAAAAGGATTACTTATTTTTTTATACCCTATTAATATTTCGATAAATTTAGGTATACTTTTAAGAAACAATTTCTACTAGAAATATATTTCGATAGTAGCCGTTCGTAAATATATAAATCCGAATTATGGTTTATAACGGATATAATATTTAATATAATCTAATTCTAACTATTTAATTAATTGAAACGTCCCTAATCTATTGTAAACCCCAATTTTAATATATTTGGGACTATTTATCCAAAGAAGTAAATTAAATATAATACTATAAAAAGGATTAAATTAATTGTAGAGTATCCCGAAATATACGCCGTTGTAAACGTAAAATACTTTTATAAAACTATCCTTAATGTCCTTTAAAATTATATTAATTATATTAATTATATACGTACTATATATTATAATAAATATAATTATTATTTTAATCAAATTGAATAGCTACCCGAAAAGCTAAAGAAGAAACCTAGCCTACCGATCGATAATTCAAAAGTAAATATCTTCTTAGTATACTTCTAAAATTTCTTTATAGAGCGTATTAATTCGGTTTATATTAAATATAATATTAACTTCTAAATACCTTATATAATTCTCTTACCGCCTAAAATCTTTTAATAAATCGTACGTACTATAATTATACTTAAAGTAGCCGACTTAATACGCACCCTACCTCATTTAGTAGTATAGGTATCCCTGTTATAAAATTAGGAATATTTAAATATTTATAAATGTAATCTTTTTACAAAATATATTAAAATCCTGTTAATTATTAACTATATAATCTAAAATAAGGAATATAAGAACAAATCCACTAAAAATATAATATATAGTAAAAATAATACGATTTAACCCACTTCATCCGTATTCCCCTACGCCTTTACGATTATAACTCTAATTTTCGGATCCCGCCCTACTAAACGCTATATATTCGGAATTAGCTAATGTAAACGTAATGAATATTAGAGTATAATAACTTTACTCTAATTAAAATTATGTAATAAATTTATTATTTTACCCCTAAACTCAATTTTTATTCTAATTAAAATAAACTAAACTTTTACTCTTATTAAAGCAAAAGCTAAATCTAGGGGTAAAGTAATATATAATACTAAATACACTCTAATCAGAGCGAAAATCGAACTTATATAGTAAAAATTAATCGAAAATATTCGGTTCATTTCCCTCTTTCTCCTTTATATAATTATAAAAAATAATCTCCGAACAAATTCTTAAATTATCTACATTACTTACAAAGTAATTTATAAATTACAAAACCGCTAATTAATTTAATTAGCGCAAACTTCGCGCCCTCCGCTATATTTAAGGGATATATTTTATTTACGCCTTCTACGGTCTAGAATATATTTATTTATATGGATTTTATTATTTAGCTAGAAAGGAATTTATTCGGTATTATAATTTAATGCCGATAGCTACCCGAACCCTATAATTAATTCGTCTATTTTTTTTCGGACGTATTACTAATTTACCCTTAATTCCGAAAGCGCTTCTATGTTTATATTTATTATTTCCTTTATTTTTATTATAATATCTACTTTATTATTATAATTACTACGAACCGTCCGTCCAATAGATTTATATAATTAATTAAATTCTTTAAAATTCTTTTTAATAATTTATTTTATATTTTTAAAATTTTATTTTAAGCCTTTAATATCCTCCGTAAATTTATTATCCCGCCGTTATTCTAAAATAGTTCTATCCCGAACGGCTTATTTTACTATTATTTAAAATTCTTTTATCGAATTAGTAAATTAATTCGTAAAAATTTATATTTATACTAATATATTAATACAGTTAATTACTACTTATATAGCGAGCTATAAACCAGTATAATAAAGATTGTAATCAATTAATTTAATTTATAATATTAAATTATTAGGTAAAATTAGACTACTACTCATAAATTAGCCGTTTCGAACTATTATGATTATAATTAATAAGCGTCCTATAAATAAAACGTAATTATATATTCAAATTAATATATACCGTTCAATTACAGATATAAATCTTTATATTACTCCGCTAAGTAAAAAAAGCTATAACAATTCTTATTATCCAATATTAAATTATCTACTCCCTATCTTAATATTAATTACTTTAAACTATTTTATTAAAAGTTAATCAAAACCTTCTTATTTTAATGCAATAGAAATAAATACGAAAATTAATTCCCCAACTGATAGTAATTGTATTAGAAATTAATTTTTGGAATTACCGGACGATAATCCTAAGAGTATAATTTTAATATATTATCGAATTCTTTTATATTACTTTGCTATCCTAATTTCAAATTAATATTGATTTCGAACTAAACAACGTACTACGGCCAACTTAAATCTAAATATAATACCCAAATTACCAGCGATCAGTTGGTAGAAGGGGTAAATATATATCTAGTAATTTAATCTATCTAATATTTCCTAAATATAAATTAAAAATATAATATTAGGAGGTTACTTTTATTCGTTCGTTACTAATAATCGGATAATATTAAATTAAAAACACCTGCGCTAAAATATAATTATAAATAGTCC